GTCATCTTGTTTTGTTTTATTGCCTGCATCCCTGGTACCCCGAATCACGGGAGGGGCTAGGAAGTTCCCATGTCTGTTGAGTGAATGAGGAAGGCATGGATGAGGAACTATGCCTTGCCATTCTTCCTAACTGGGGAGCAAAGATACATGGAAGGCCATCTATGGAGTTGCTGGTGTAGAAGTAGATGCCTGGAGAACACAGTTGCAAGACCCCCTGAGGCCAGGTCAAGGAGGAACAATTTGAGAGTGGTGTGAAGTCAAGGACATTTTGGGTTCGAGTGACTTGGGGATGTCCTTTGATAGTGTTTACTTGGGTTCTGGAAAAGAGAGGTTGGGGCTAGAGGCAGATGTGACCATCCACATGGAGGGGTGAAGGAGGAGGGGCAGGGAGGAGGAAGAGCAATGGGGAGACAGCAAGCCCACCAAGATCAACTTCTGTGGGCACGTGTGCATTTAGAGGAGAGACGCTTGTAGGCTCAGTGAGAGTGAGAGCTTAAACAAGAGGGTCACGGAAACTTAAGCGCTGGCAACTTCAAGGTTCAACTTGTAGCATAGAGCGTCTTGGCTGAGACGGCCCAGCTGGAGAAGACATCTGCTGTCAAACCGCTGGTCAGAACCCACATGGTACAAGGAGAGAAACAACACCTTCAAGTTGTCCTCTGACCTCCATGTGTGCCATGTGGCAAGCCCCCTCCCACTCTTGAAAACAAATAATTAAAAAAAAAAAAGAACAGGGTGTCTGGCCTAAGGTCACAGGAATCTGGGGGTTTCTGGACCCCCGCTCGCTCGGGTGTGACCATTGCTCTCTTCCTGTTGCCAGGAGCAGATATTTCCCAATGATGAGGCTCTCCACCTCCAAAGCTAATATTTGTTTCCTCTTGATTCAGCATCTCGTGTGTTACTTTTTAACCGGAGCCCAGGGTTCAAAGGCCTGGCTGCTGTTTAAGCACTCAATACATGAGGATGACATGTACACCCTCCTTTCCCAACCTCACTGATGAACCGGCAAGGAATGTCTAAGTAAAGAGAATAGGTAGAAGAGGGCAGAAGGCCAAGGAGCACTGCGTTCCAGCAGGAAGGTCTGGAGAAGGAGGACCCCAGGGCAGAGGCCTTAGGACTGAGAGGAGAGCTAGATGACAGGTGTGTCCCCAGCTCAGGCTCTCTGCTGTCCTTACTAAATACAAGATCTAAAATTCACTATCAAACAGAAACTCCTCTACAAATACAACACTGCTGCTGTATTTGGTTCCCACCGAGCATTCCCCAGAGTGGAAATCCCACTTCCCCATCTCCAGTCCCTTTGGCTATTTGCTCTGTTGCACAAACTGGGTGTTTGCATGCTCCTTAGGCGGCCCTGGCTTCTTGCTGGAGGAAAGGGTGATGGGAGTGAGGACTGCATTCTGGGAGGGGGACTCTACTCCGGGAGTGAGGATTGTACTCCGGGACAATGTCTTTTCAAGTTGTGTGGACATTTCATATTTACAATGGATTTAGTGGCTGAAATAGACCTGGTACCCTCAAAAACATTTTTTTACTTAGTTTCCTGGTAACCAAATGGTGTACTTTTGATATTTTTAAAATTATTTTTCACTTAAGCATCATCTTTAGTAGTTGTTAAAACAAAACTACTTCTGTGTCTAGCTAATTGGTCACTTACATCTTAGTAGACATGAGTTTATTACCTCTTTCCATGGGTGGAGGAGTGGGCAGTCGGGTAGTAGAGTCAGTAGTCGAGTGATGGCCTTTTACCCAGATTCCCTGAATTTCCAGTTCCACTCTGCAAGTTTATTTCCTTATATGTAAACTGGTGCTAACATTATCATTGGACTGATACGGAGATCTATGAAATGCAGCAGAATCCAAAGACTCCAGAGGCTTGGCGAATGGCTGCAAGGCCACTGTTTCCAGGAGAAACTGTCTCTGCAAGATTGCCCCCAGCCTGGAAATCTCACAACTACAGCTGCGGTCTTGCTTCTGGCCAGGGGACCTGGGAAGAGGTTTACTTTCATCCCGCACAATCCTCCCCAGGTTCTGACATCCTGCCTCTGTTTGCAGACTGCAGGGCACCCTGTCCCAGAGGATGCAGAGCTGTAGGGGGAGAGTGCCTGAGTTCCTGAATGACTGTGGAACGGAGCATCTGCTTAAACCTGCAAAGGATTGTGGGAAATAAACCTATGCCAAGCCACTTCGACAGTGTTAATTTGCCCCAAGGAACTAATTTCTTCTTACCTAAAGGATCTTCTGGGGTGGAGGAAAAGTGAGCTGTGATTCAGAAACCTAGGGAATAAACCACACTACTCTCTGAGACTTGGGAAATGCCACTGCAAGGTGAGTCTAGAGTTTAACTGGAGAGCCAAGATCATTGCAAGGTTTCAAAACTTACAAGGTGACTATACATTCTGAAAGTGGTGACTAATCCACTCCATGTGAAATGGGGATACTATTTGAATATTAGATTGACTTCCCCCCCCAATTCATGATACTACTATGTGGGCCTCTAATCAAGACAATTTTGTTTTTAGAAATAAATTGTGTTGAATTTGGCATGTAGTTGAGAATGAACTTGAACTTTTGGTTCTCCCTGGGATTATAGGCATGCACCATCACACTGTTTTACGTAGTTATGGGTGCCAAACCCAGGGGCATGGATATACCAGGTAAGCACTGCCAACTGAGCTTCATCCTCAGCCCCGGCTAAGCTTTATTAGGTTAAGGAATCACAGGTACTTACTAGAAAAAATATCGTTGGAATGAAATATATGGTTCTACATGGAATTCTAGAATGATAATGCTAATATGTAATGGAAATTTCCGAAGACTTTTGAGATGTGGGGGTGGGGACTGGCTTGGAGGAGACATGGAGTGTTATGGAGTATAGTCCAAATCAGGGCTGGAGAGACGGCTCAGTTGTAAAGTGGGTGCCTTGCGGGCAGGAGGACATGGGTCCCATCCCCAGCAGCTGTGGATACAAAGGCGGAAGCAGGCTGATCTCAGGGGACGCGTGGCCAGCCACTCTAGCTTACTTGGTGAAGTCTAGGCCAGTGTTTAAAAATAAAATAAATCAAAGTAAGGGAAAAAGAAAGGGTAGGCAGTGCCTGTGGACTGACACCTGGCTGAGGTTGCCCTCTGACCTACACACACACACACACACACACACACACACACACACACACACACACACACACACACACGTGTGTGCACGCACATAAACACACATAAATTGCCCTAATTTGTCTTTTGCCTCAGATTTGGCTGAGCAGCCTGCTGGAGTGTCCTCAGGGGCTGTTCTAGGCAGCCGTTCAAGCTTCCCCACAGCACACAGGCTTCTCTTACTGCACTTGAGTGCTTAGCTTGGTGCTGCTCTCACTCCATCACCTGACACCCCTGATGAACTAATTTGTGGGTGACCCCGTTTTTTTTTTCACAGAGGACAGAGAGATTCTACTGGCATCAGAGTGTGGAGCCTACAGAACTGATGAGAACATTCCACCAGTCCTGTGCCACCCTGCTGGCTCCAACAGGAAGCAGCACTGTAAGTTGTGTATCTCCAAGGGCTGAGGCCAGTACACCTGAGACAAGTGTGGGTTGTCCTCAGCCGGGTCTGGGCACATCCTACTGGAGGTAGTCGAGGCATTCTCCACCCACCTTATCCCTTCCTGCTCTGGGATTTGTAGCCAGCGGGTGGGCGGGAAGGCAACTTGAGCCAGCCTGGGCTTTGAAGTAGGAAAGGAGAGCAGGGGCGTTACATCAGCAGCACAAGGCACCCACTGAAGAAATGGTGGCGGCGCACAGCCATTGCAAATGTGCTGTGATTGGAGCAGCGAACGCTCTCCCCAGCCCTGCGCCCAAGCAGACTCCAACAGGAAATCGTCTCTATCTCTCCAGGCCCCAGTGTGCAATTGGTTCTGGAAGTTATCCACGGAAGCAGAGCTGGATCTTAACTCAGGCTTGACCTTTTCCTCCCCGGGTCAAATATCAGAACATATCCCACAGCCTCCAACCTCTGGAAGCTTTGCTGAGAGGACCAAGGTGGTGAGAAGTGGTGCTTGGTTGAATGTGACTTCTCGGTCAACGTGTGCTCACTGCTAATGTTAGGGGTTACCAAATTGTGGAAATGCCAGCATCACTTAGATCTCACAGCAGGTTAAGGGTTTTTCAACCTAGATTCATCCCATCTTTGTTCTTCTATGAGAACTCACAGTGGTCCTTCCCACCTGCACTGTGTCTCCTTCTAAGCCTGGGTGGGGTGACAGAAACTCATGATGTGATAGACTGATGATCCCCCATGGAAGGCCCCCATGGAAGGGGGAGCAGAAGGGGAATGGGATGGGAGGGCCGGTAGGGAGAGGGAGCTGGGATTGATATGTAAAATAAAATTGTTTCTAATTTAAATTGATATAAAAAAAAGAAATTCTGGGAGCTATGACCACTTTGTAGCAAGTTTATGAAACTACAGCAAGCCCTGGGGTATGCTTGGATGTCACAGGCTGGCCGTCTCTGAGGGGATAGGGTGAGGACATTGACTGGGTCACACCAATGAGAAAGGCAAGGCTTCCTGCACCCTCAGGAACAGAGAGATTGAGTTGTCATGGAAAACTGACACAGGTCTGGATACTCAAAGCATCTTTCTGAGGACAACCATGGCTTGGCTGCCAGTGTCACTCCCTCCCCTGAAGTCTGTGGCACACTGGAGAGCAGCTGTGAAGTCTGTTGCCTTTCTAAGTATGGAGTAGTAGGATCCTGCATGCTGTATCAAGTTGGCAATTCTTAGGGTTAATAAAAGACAAAACCTAGCATCTGGATGAGGGCAGATGAGCCTCTTACTATGCTTATCCCAGGTGTTCAGGGCAGACCTCACCCCTAAGGTGGGGCTCTTACTGGAGAGTAAGAGATGTTCACTCCTTAAATCTGTAGTCGTTCAAACCTGTGCCACGATTGAAGTGATAGATTCTTGAAGAAGCTTGAGATCAGACAACACATGGTACTTATGTAGGAAATGCTCCAGCTTTCAAAATTCTTTATTAAATATTTGACAAGTTGCATCACTGCTTTACAACAACTTCACTTTGTCACATTTTTTCATTGGCTGTCAGGAAAACAAGCTACAGTATCACTTTAGATCTCTCGAGAAGAGAGAAAAGGACTTGGCGCATGTACCAGATTCAAGCTCTGTTAAAGCTCTCCGGACTGGGAAAGCAAGAGCATCAGCCATTACGCTGTCTTAGAAAAATGTCAAGGTAGTTTGGTTTTGACCATTGTATCAAATAGCACTCAGCTTTGTTAGGGGGTGGGGTTAGAATAAAAAGTTAAGAAACATTGAGAATTCACTTGGAATGCTTGAAATTCTTTTCACCTTCAAAGTCACTTTTAAAAATAAATGTTTCATTCAATAACAGGTCCCGAATTAAGAAATGACAGCAAGCTAATACCTTTTTAGGGTTCTCTGGGGCGCCGAAGGTCAGAATTCTCAGGGCATGACTTGAAGAAAACTGTAGACGGGACTTAGCTCTCATTCCCTTTTGAATCCAGATTACTCCTAAGGTGAAAAATGCTATACAAATATATACAAATATATTTGGACAGCATACATACACATATATGTATATATGTTACATGTGGGGTAGCAAAAGGAAGAACAGGTCGCAGAGTCAACGTGAAGGAAACTGTGACAACAGAGGTAAAGTCAGTCTGAGTATGAGGCATCGACTGGCTTACACAGGAACAGCCATCTCTCCGCACAGTCTGGGAAGTCTTTGAATACATTGAGATGCAATGGGGGGAATGCAGCACATAAGAGGTCAGGCACCAACAGACGCCCTTAGGTTCCGACCGTCGCCCCTTACAGATACAAAACCAGTAAAGAGACACGTTGCTTCAGACACGTGCTTGGGAGGGTTAGCATTTCAAATAAAGGATAGATGCTGGATGGTAAGTTTTCTTGGAAGATTTCATACCAGACAGAAAGCTACCCCTTTCTTAGAAAACCCTAGACAGGCTCACGTCCTAACACTACAGCTTTTTCTCTGACACACTGAAAACACTGGGATGGAGTGCATACACAGATGTATACACACTGTTCATTAAGGCTTATATAAATTAAAAAAGTGGTCCAATGTATATCACATTTCTACCCAGTTTTAAAATCTAAGGTACAAAGTGGAGTTTATAAGGTTTTGTTTTTTTTTAAACATATCCTAGTCCTGAAATTGGCAGTTTTGACATGACTCAGGATATTCCCCAATGCATGAGACAGAGGTAGCATGTGGTCTTCTGGGAGCCAGACAGGGAGCAGAGCAGGCAGTGACCCTGCACAGCAGCACCCCTACTGGCCAGGAAGCAAATGACAACAAATAGCATCTCCCTTCTGTTAACTGAGAGAGCCACAGACAGAAAAACAGCTAGCCCAGTAGGGAGGGGCTGGGTAGCTGAGGAACCCAGGCTTTCTTTGTAGACGTTCAGATGTTAGAGGGGAGATGCAACACTACCAGGAAAATAGAGAACACATTGGAAGCTGCTGCACATGGGAGCCTGACTCTCAGAACAAACTGGAATCTGGAGAGACCATGAGCAACAGGTCATGTGAGATGCACAACTGTTAAATTATTTTGCAACCCACTTCCATGAGTCTACTGCTGAATCGTTATGAGGGAGAAGATGCGTGTCAAGTCACTTTATATCACTGCTGACCTGAATGTCAGGATTCGCTGCTGTCTCCTGCTTAAGGTCCCCGGAAACAGAATTCTTTATTTTATCCACCCCCCTCCCCGCCCCCAGCAATGGAGATTAAATCTAGACATGCTAGACAAACACTCTGTCACTAAGCTACATCAGCCCTGGGAACAAAAATAAACACACATCTCTGGTTCTTGCGATCCACTAGCTGACCAGCCACAGAAATGTAGACACTGGTGTTTCAGACAGACAAGGAAAGCGCACTGAAGACACCGGGGAGAGACCAATGCCTACCACCACCTGCTATGGAGTCAGTAGGCTAATCCAGGCTTACCACGGGGCAGGGAGAGAAACACAAGATAGATAGCCACATGTTGCTCGAAGTCCTTCCACAGTGAAGCAAGAGTCCTGGAACCCACTCTGTAGACTCAAGGTAAATGATCCCCAACTCTGTCCGCAGCAGCTGACTGCAGTGCTGAGGTCCCAAAAGAATGACCTGCCTCCTGCACCTCAGGCACAGCATACTCCCCATTGCCATTTACAGGTATCACACAAAGATGACCAGGCATGGCCATCACCATCCAGAGACATCAGGCATTTTAGGCAACAAGCTTCACAAACCAGAGAAACAGGGAACTGTGTTTTTACTTTCTAACAGGCCAGCTCTCCAATCCAGTACAACTCTTAAAAATCTGAATTATGGATCAATGGGCTGAAGTGTTATCCACAATGGCCTGCCTTTCAAGTACTCCCAGGGGTGTATTTCAATAGGTCTTTTCTGCTCTTGACTTAGAAATGATCAGAATTAAGTCTTTCTTTTCATACTTTTAACTAAAAACATCATATATAGGTTAGGTCAAAGGACAACTTGCAGGAGTCAGTTCTCTCTTTCCATCAGGTGGGTCCCAGGGATTGAACTCAGGCTGTCAAACACCCTGACTCACTGAGCCATCTTGTTGGCCCCTTTTGCATTTATTTAAAATGCAGAATGACTACTTTGTATTTAGTGAATAATGTGGTTCAGTCTAGATCCTACAGAATTATAGAACCCCAGTACTTAGAACAGATTTTGGTTTCTTCTTCAATCAAAATACACCTTGCAGCTCGAGCTTTGGCACACTTTTCAGCAGAGAGATGGTTCTGGATATGGAAGGTTATTAAAACAAAAAGACCCCTGCCCCCAACATCTGTTAACCACAGGGGAAAAATATCTCACCAGAAGGTAAGAACTGAGAGTGTTAATTGTTTTTATAATTACTGGATAGCATAGGGAAAAGGAGCCAAGGCTCAGCTTGGTAGGATTCTACCCTCTGGAGCTTCACCCATCAAGAATGTCCATGGCTTCTTCATGGCGCCCACAGCTGTGTAAACACTAGTAATTTCTTACACCAAAGGTCCTTCTTACAGAGCAGAGACCACAGTCTTTTTTTGTCATATTCACAACTGGCAAGAGATCAAAATATCCCATGTCCCCTAACTCAGGACAGGGTCTAGGACAATACAAGTTAAAGGGACAGCAGGGGTGCTGAACTCCCACACTGCCTCAGGCATCTTCTCAGAATACAACAGAATTCTGCAACAGAGACTTACAGACTGTAGACACCTACATTCCTCCACCATTGCGAACCAGGCAGTTCGAGCTCAGTGGATCCCACCCGGTCTTCTAGCTCACTTTTAAACCAGCACACAATAGACATGACCTGGGGGGGCAGTACACAGTATCGAAGCATGCAAAATAGGTCAGTAGGTCACACCTTGGCTAAGTGTATAGTAAGTAAATCCGAGTCGTCGAGTAGAAATTACAAACAGTTGGAGAAGATGGGTGTGGAGGCTCAGCGTAACATCTCGGTTCACTAGCAGCCTAATTCACAATGGATAGATAATGCACCAGACAGATGAGTGCAGGGAGGAAGAAACAATCACATGTAATGTTATGAGAAAAAAATGAAACAAAACAAAACAGATATGACCTGCAGAAAGTGCCTTTGGAATTGCCGCAGTCACAGCAAGAATGGGTTATTAGCTACTGTTTAGCCAACCACTGACTCTGGCTTCCTCAGTTTTGAATCAAGCAATGCCATCGGAAATGTCTCTACAAACACCATAGCATAAGAAGAGGCTGCACGTGACAGGAAGGGTTAAGGGTTTCTGATGCAAAATGACAGTCCAACCCTGTCTTGAATGTGTGATGACACACGTCAATACTTCTAAGGAACAATGGTGTTATTCCTTTCAAGGTAACACAAAGATATCATGCTATGTTACAATTCTTCAGTCTGTACCTAGTACCTAAATTTGTACAAAAACAGGGTAATATCCAGTTTATTTTCATTCTGAGCATGGAAAAATTATTATACTTAATGTTCTATTTGAAATTCTTTCCAAGTATTGGTCTGTAGAAGGCTTTTGGAGAAAAATTAGTCTTCCAATAAGTAGAGGGTGGGGGGTGTCAAAGTACTTCAAAAATAAAAATGTCACCGACATTAAGCTTGATATGAAATTCAAATACAAAAAAAATATGCTCACTTTTCCAAGTACATGAGACATCTTTAATTGTAATGAAATAAAATCTGAAAATCAGTCTAAATCATTTTGAAAAGTAAACATGAGTTTTGTAATACTATACCTGTAGCGTGATTAATTCCATTCATTGTCATTAGAAAGTATGCAAAATATTTATTAAGGGCTTTGCCTGCAGAGGCACAACATAAATAGAACAGGTCCTCCTGAAATGTAATCAATGTACAGGCCAACCAGTTGAGAATTGGTGGTGAAAGGGGGCGGCACTTGAGCTGGGGCGGCGTTCCCTGGCGGAACTTGGGCGCCGCCTGGACAAGTTGGGCTCCAGAGCCAGGCCAGGCAACTGCTTCTGCCACCGGCTCTGCAAAAGTCTGCTAGGCAAATGCAAAAGTGCACGCAGAACTTGCTGGAAGGGCAGTGTCCCCAATGCAGCGGGCCTTAATCCACCCCTTCAAAGCCTTGAGCATTCTCCACGGCCATGAGAAGTTTCTCCCGCAAATCTTCAAAGGTTTCGTACGGAGGTAAATCAAGGCGATTAAAGCTGGCAAAGGAATAGAAAGTTGTGGTGAGTGGTTGCCATTCTCCTCGTCATGGCAGCACTTTCCTGATTTGGCTAATGGGCACTGGCTGTTTGAGCAAGGGAATTATTAAAGAGAAAAAAAAACCCACACTTTTATTACCCAGAGCCAGATTCTAGTTAGGAAAGTGTCTATGCCAAACATGTTATACAGTCAACGGGGAAAGCAAAACAGTCTTTCAACTGTCCATGACTACTCTGCTGCCTGGATGGAGACACAAAGACAAGACAAGCACCGGCATCCACAGAGAGACTAAAAATGTGGGCTGGGGAGATGACTCAGCTTGCAGGGGCTTGCAGGCAAGCCTGGCGACTTGAGTTCAAGCCCAGATGCCACGTAAAGGTAGAAGGAGAGGATCAAGAGGAGTCTTCTGACCACGGTAGTAGCATGTGCACCCCATCCTACACACACACACACACACACACACACACTCACACACGAGAGAGAGAGAGAGAGAGAGAGAGAGAGAGAGAGAGAGAGAGAGAGAGAAAGAGAGAGAGTACACATAATAAGTAAAAAAAAACCCACCTTTTTAAAAAAGAAAAAAAAAACCACCCTTTTAAAAAGAAGACCACGGAGCACGAGGCATGTACTCCTCAGGAATGAAGAACAGACAGACCACCTACCCTGGCCCACCATGCCTGAGCCGAGGGCTCTTCTGTAGGTGTGAAGCAGGTTAAGGATATTTATCCTGCACATGCATATCCCTATGCATGGAGGTGAAGCCAGGGAGCCATGGGTACCACTCCTAGGAATGGTGCAGATCCCAGAGCAGAGCCCAGGCTGCCTCAGTTACAGAAAGCTGAGCCAACTCTGCTATCCAGTTGGCCACCATCAAGGTTTGGAGAGAGCCAGTTCAGAAGGCTTCCACTGAGCCGGGCGGTGGTGGTGCATGCTTTTAATCCCAGCCCTCGGGATGCAGTGGCAGGCAGATCTCTGTGAGTTCAAGACCAGCCTGGTCTACAAGAGCTAGTTCCAGGACAGCCTCCAAAGCCACAGAGAAACCCTGTCTCGAAAAAAAAAACAAAGCAAAACAAAACCGAAGAAGAAGAAGAAGAAGAAGAAGAAGAAGAAGAAGAAGAAGAAGAAGAAGAAGAAGAAGAAGAAGAAGAAGAAGAAGAAGAAGAAGGCTTCTACTGGTGTGGGGGCAGGTATAGCTCATCCTTTGAGAGTGTTATAGATGGATGGCCTCTGCAAGAAATCAAGCCCACTTGTTTATGGGTCAAGTTCAAACCCTGTCCCTGCCATCTGTGTGACGCTGGTCAAGTCATTTCACCTCCCTGAATCTGCTCAAATGTAAAAAGGAGAAACTGTTCACAGGTTTATGGGAGGGTCAAATCAGAGTTTGTGCAGAGGGGCTGGGAGCATGTGCTCAGGAGATGGTGAGTGACTAAGGCAACTCACCCCATGTTTACTGAGTATCCGCTCTGCCTTACCCAGTTCAAGAGTATTTAAAAAGGCTGCCAGCCCTGTAAGGAAGCTGTCTGAAATCAGTGTGCACGGCCACACAGGACAGAGCATGCTGCTCCACGCAGTCACAAATGGTCCTTCAGGTGAGGGAAGGGAAGGCACCCACAGCAGCTAACTCTCCACTGCCAGTTTTTACAGAGGCGCTGACAAGCATTGGGGGCGAGAAAGGATGCTTATGCCAGCTCAGCGGGCTGCAGACCCTCACTGTACTGAGAGGGGCAGGGCCACAGCCCCCACTTCCTCCGAAGCAAGAAGGAAGGAAAAGACTGTGCAGAGACCTGGGACCGCAACTGAGTTTGGACAAAAAGGAGCTTGCTGAAGGTTGCTTTAAAACCCACTAGGCCATGCCTGTCTCTGACACTGTGCTGGGTGTCATATGACTCTTTGAAGCCAATTAGTAATGCTTCCCCCTCCCTCTCCAGCCAGTCCATGGGTCACTTGCAGACTGTGTGAACAGAAGAGCTTTTAAATTGATGGTGCTATGGGGAATTTTGTCCTTAATTTTATTTTTTAAACACTGTTGTATGCATGTGGAAGCCAGAAGATAATCTGCTGGAGTTGGTTCTTTACACCATGTGGGTCCCAGTGATCCATCTGAGGTTATAAGGCTTACATTCATTTATTTATATATGTCTGAGTGTTTTGCCTACGTGTGTGTGTGTGTGTGTGTGTGTGTGTGTGTGTGTGTGTGTGTGCGCCATGTGTGTACCTAGCACCTATGAAAACCAATTCTCCTGGAACTGGAGTTACAGATGGTTGTGAGCCACCATGTAGGGGCTGGGAATCGAACTCAAGTCCTCTGCAAAGAGCAACAAGTAAGTACCCTTCACCACTGAGTCATTCCTCCAGGCCCCATGGGGATTTCATTACTTACCATGTGTGAGCTCTGGGCAGTTTTTCAGGACTACCCCATTGCTCTATTGTAAACAGCTGAGGACCATTGGAACCTGGGGAGGGGGGGAGAAAGGCAGAGATCAGGAGGGCTTGAAGCAGGAGAACAAAGTTCCGGGGAGCTTAGTGGCAAGGGGAGGGGAGGAGTATCAGGTGGGGCCTGCGCAGTGAGTCCTGTGGGAAATCCCCAGGTCTGCACCGCTATCTCCCCCGCAGCACGGAATTGTCTGTGCCAGGCAGTGGTATGCAGGCGCAGGTGCTGCGGCCTCTCTGCTTCAGGGGAAGGTACAGAGCAGAAAGGATCCCGCCATGCGTGATTCTGAAAATCTGGTTTTAAGAGCTGAACAGAAATCCTGAACTATGCGAGGGCAGGGGAAGGAGAAAAAAAAGAAATAAAAAAATGATAAAAGAGACGAAACCTTCAAGCTGTCTGTACAAACACTGCCTGAACCCCTGCCTGCTCTGCATCTCCATGGGTCTCTATGGAACTAATGCAGTTAAACTGATCTGGAAAGTTACCTAGGTGGCAGGTCACTACCTGTTTGGGTCCTCACATGAGGACAGAGGGGTCTGGGACACGCAGCACTCACCATACAGTTCGGCAAATCCATTCATGGGTACTCGGGAGGTGCCTGTGACAAACTGTAGTAACCGGATCCGCTTCTCGGCATCCATCAGGAGCACAGCCTGCCAGAGGCGGAAGGTCATGATGTCACCATGCAGCAGGCAGCACACACTGCCATGACGTCACCATGCAGCACACACTGCCATGACCCAGGCAGGCAACTAAATTCCCATTTACACTCCCATGGAATCGCCTACACAGTCAACTCTGAGAAATGGCACCATCTCCCCCTTTTGGAGGGTCGCTACAACCCGGCCTCTCTATTCTTAGAGCATTGCCAGGTCCCATCTTTTCTTTTGCCAACAGGCCGAAATAAATGATATTAAAAGAAAACTTTTTGGAGGGCCTCAAGCTCAAGTTTCTGGGTTTGAGGCCTGGTGTCTCCCTGAAGCCAATTCTAACCAGGCAGTTTCCACAAGTATCTAAAACAAGAGGAAGCCAGGTGATATGGTCACAGAAAGATCCCCAATGATATTTTATAAACAGAAGGAAGCCCGAGTCAAAAATGGGCCTTGGGTCAAACTGTGTGCCTCCCAGATCTTAAAATGCAGTAACAGAACCAGCCTTCCTGGACATGTGATTTGGTTTTCTATAATGCAATCCAAAATCAAAGCCAAGTTCCAGTCTTGGAAAAGTCTGGTTCCTCCTCTCTGTATTTGTACTGATACTTGAATATTAATAACAGACATTCAGAAGTTAAAACATGATAGCTGATTTCTTTTCATTTTTTTTTAAAAGTCAGCACCTGCCAGTTTTAGTGGTATACACCTTTATTTCCAGCACTTTGGAGGCAGAAGCAGGTGAATCTGTTTTGAGACCAGGCAGGACTACACAGTGAGATCCTGTCTTTTTTTTAATTTTTTTTAAAAACCTGATAAGTAGTTCAGGCTGTCCCAGAACTTTCTGTGTGTCTCAGGCCAGCCTCAAGCTTCCAATTCTCCTGGCCCAGCCTTCCAAGTGCATGGCAAGGAGGTTAGGGCTTTTGCCCTGATTTGGGGTAAGAACCTGAAGCAGAGGTTGGGCCTAGAGTTCTGCAGTTACCTTCCAGAACCACTGGATGACAGGATGATTGGGGCAGTAGCCATTCTTGTAAATAGAATGTTGTCTCCAGTCATTCACGTCCACATCTCCAAGGCCGCACATCAGCAACTAGTAAGGAAATTGATCAGATGTAAATGAGGTGGGTTATGCAAGCTGAGTATGCTCTCTTCTCTATGCTGGTGTGTGTAACCGGGCAAGCAGGTAAGCCAGCAGTTCAAGGGAGTCAAAGAATTCAGATGCATGGGCTGAACTTCCCCTGATACTCACATCAGAGTGGGAGAAGGGAGGGAGGGAGGGAGGGAGGGAGGGAGGGAGGGAGGGAGGGAGGGAGGGAGGGAGAGGTTTTCTTATCTGACCTGCATCAAGATCTGGACTATATGGTTATCTTTCCAGCCCGTGTGCTTTAGACACAGTGCTGTAGAGTTCCTTGTACCACATTAGCAGATACATAGGATTCTGTCTGTTACTTGTCCCCATGACAGCAAGAACTCATCCCCCAGATGGGTTAATTCATGTGACAACCTCATCCTTCCAGCATCCTGTAGGTACCCAGGCAGGAACTGGTCCCTTGAATCAGTACTTGTCTAGAGTTTGTTCTTATCATAAGAGTTTCCAATGAATATGATATTCCCAAGGAAGAACTAAAACCCAACAGGAAGAAAACCATTCCCAAAGTCTGAAAACTGATTCCTCGGCCCCTGGGACAGCCTGGCCGAGTCATCTTGCAAGGTTGTTCTCTTCTCACAGCCTCAACAAACTTGTAGTGCTTGCGATACCAAATATTCATGACACTCATCTCGAAACTTCCACTTTAAATTCTCTGAGACATGCTTTGTTGGACATGGGCCTGGAGAGACCAGCTGTGGACAGATGCAGCCTCCTTCCCTCTGTGCCTTGACACAACCCAAGGAGAGACGTGTTTGCGGTTTCCAAGTTGCTCTCTCCCTCACCTCCACCAAAGCTGAGAAGCTGAGATGGACATTCGTGACACACTTCCTACTACTACCCGATGGCCTCCTATGGCCCTTATTCAATGCACGCCACTTCACGTTCAAGGCCCCGTCTCCTTTACAGGCTCTGGAGAAGGAGTACGGCTATAGTGTGGCCAAGTCCTACGACCACCTGCCAAGGTGGAGACTGGGCTGCAACAAAGGGCACCGGCTCAGCCTGGTGACACAGTCTGCTTGGCCTGAGGATTGGGCTATGCACTCAGCGCAGCTCACTAGAAATGCTCACAGCTGCCCTGTCATAGGCGACAAATCGACTTGGCTACTATTGCTAGCCTCCCCAGGCTAGCCCAAAGACAGGCCTTGGGATAGTGCATTCAATATGTCATGTGCCAGAGTATTCAAAAATGTCATTTTCAACCTAAGGAGACACTTAAAATCATCTACTTTATGTATAAAACATGATACTGATTAAACAAACCTCCAGTTCGTTTTCATCAAAAATTTTAATCAAATCGATTGGAAGAAGTTCTGTAAATCCCTGAAAGGAAAAGATAAAAACATCTTAAGCACTTCTTTGAAAAAGAACAATTTCATGGGTAGAAGTCAGCCAGAGAAGGCTCGCTCTTCTGCTGGCTCACATGGCAGGGACAGTGTCAGGTGACCACAACCCCAACAAAATCCCAAGTCATGCACAAAGCCAGAAGCTTCCAGGACGTGCACACTTTCTGCAACTCTATGATACTAGGGACACTGTAGACAGGCAGACTGCAAAGGCAATTTATGACACACTTTTGTGAGTCAGTGTGTTCTAAAATGCACAGACAGACCACAAACGTGTAAGAGACACATTCAAAAACAGCCGACAGCAGGGGTGGGGGGTGGGGGGTGGGGGGTGGGGGTGGGGAGACAGAAGTAGCATCAGCCAGCACAGAGAACTGACAGAACAGCAAGCCAGGCTCTGTCCTGGGCTGTCATTAATTAGGGGGTGACCCAGGAAGACATTCTAGATGCTGTGGCCCCTGAAAGCTGGGTGGAGCTGGGAATCTGAAAGCTGGGCAGGGCTGGGGATCTGTTTCCTGGGACTTCTTCCCTAAACACCATAGACGAGTTCTCCTTTGTATCTTATGTCCCCCAGCCCTGGCATAGGTGCACTTCCTGCTCAGGGGAGGACCATCCTCATGATGTGCAGGTCACTGAGCTTGAGAACTGCTGCATGAAAGAGGTCCCTGGAAATGAATACCGTGGGGTTTGGGCTTCTCCCTTCAAGATTTATTTATTTATTATGTGCGTTCATGCATGCATAGAGGTCAGAGGACAACCTGTGAGACTTGGTTCTCTCCTTCTGCCCGTGGCACTGGAGGTTTGAACTCAGGCAGTCAGATTTAGTGGCCAGACACCTTTACTTGCTATCTCATCCTCCTGCTGCTTTTAAATAACCGGTACTATCATTATCAAAAAGGAATTCCACTTTTGCCAACATGAAATGCTTTTTATGGTTTAAAAAACAAACAAAAGCCACCACCTGAAGGGTCTGGGGAATGTCCCCTTGTGGTAGACTGTTCATGGGAGAGGTGGTGGCTTCATTCTATTACAGAGACAAAGCTGGTATTTGGATATAAGATAAAAACCCAGAGCATGAAAAGGGGGAGAATCTGTGGGAAGTTCGGTGTCACAAAGGGAGGGGCTCTGCGGGGAAAGTCAATGTGCCTGTATTGGGTAAGGCCTGAATGAGAGGGCACTACTTTTGGAAGCACAGTAGCAGGCAGCTCCTCTGGGTACTGCTAGACGTTCAAGGTAACGGCTCCAGACGGTTTAAACATGGCGGAAGCGCTAGTGAGAGGGCTCAGCCAGTAAAGGTGCTGGTTATCAAGCCCGAGGACCCGGGACCCACAACCATTCCAGAGAGACAACCAACTCTTTAGAGTTATCCTCTAATCCTCTCCTGTGTGCAAGCATACATAAATAAATCCAAAACAAACACACAAACAAACAAACATAGATGGAAGCCAGGCAGTATAATCCTATTACCCGGGAGGCTGAGGCAGGACTGCCATCAGCTCCAGGCCAGTGTGTGCCACATACGCTTGGTCTCCAGCAAGCAAGCAAGTGACAAACTAAACTAAACTAAAAACAACCTGAAAATGGAGAAAGGCAGAGCAAGAGAACACTTAAAACAGATGGCAGAGCATCATGGGACATTCCCACCTTGGGAAACGGCCAAGAGGGTCAGCTGCCTGTGCTGGCCTTCTGCACGCTGCCCTGCCCTGACCCCATTAGCAGTGCTTACCTCCAAGAAGGCGTTCATTTGCTTCTGGACCCTGTTCACGAATCTCCACTGAATGACTAAGCTGCGGGAAAGGAAAAGGGACACGCTTAGTCACCTCTGACACCTTCCTGCCCCGTAAATGAGAATCCTGAACAACAGAAGGACAAGGTGGGGTGGGGCTTGCTCCAGTACATTTGCTGAGAGTCCCTGTATTCCTTTAAGAGCCCCCGGAACACCCGGGAGAAGTCTACACTCTCTCGGAGGTTGTTGGGAGTGTCACTGCTCTGCCGGCCTGCATCTAGCCTCGGCAGAAGCAAGTGCTCCACAAACGTGGTTTGATGAGGAAGGAAGAGAATGCAGGCTGAAGATGGATGACTTAGCAGTGAAGAGCACGGGCTGCTCTTCCAGAGGAGCCGGGTTTGACTTCCAGCACCCACATGACAGCTCACATGTGGGTAACTCTAAGTCTAGTCCCAGGGGATCCGACATCCTCTTCTTGTCTCCAAGGACCCTGGCCACACATTATGACACAGACAGGCATTCACAACACCCACCCACATAAAAGTAAAAGGTTAAAGTTCTGTTAATAAAAAAGGTCATAGGATGTGATTACACATATCTACCCATTCACATGTATGTGTAAGTATGAATATGTGTTTGCTAAGAGCAGTTCATCATACCATATATCATACACACTAATATTTAAAAATAATTTGTTTGAGACAGGGTCTGCCTCCCCAGTACTGAGGTTAAAGGTGTGTGCTTCCATATCTGCCTCACGCTGGTCCTTTGAATACTACAGTTCAGAGATGAATGGTAGAATTTGAAGGTCATCGAAACTGTCCCTTAGACAGTGTTCCGTGTGACCAATCCGGATTCTGGCCTCATCTTCAAGGTGGCAACATGACAACCACTTGAGAGGCGCAGCTTGCGGCACACAGCGCTTGGTGGTATTGGCGCCACGGGCTAGGCTGCAATCCACTGCCCAGCAGTGTTCCGCCAGTGCCAGGGCACCGCGCGGGCCAGTGATTCCAACCCTACAGCCAAGACCCTGCCTGACCTCAGCCCAGAGACATACGTCCACATCCTCAGGCCTCAGCTATACTGGGATGGATAATTTTTTCTTTTTTAAAGAACCACTTAACACCAGGACTTTACAAAGAAGGCCAGTGGTGCCTTCCAGGTGGCATCCGATAAAACTGACCACGGTCAGAACAAGGTTGCAATTATCGTGACAGATGGGTACCACAGAACCTTACTTCTAGCTTATTTATTAAGTGCCATGAACTTTCATCTGGAAGTGACCAAAGCCAAACCAAACCAACTGAAAACCTCCCACACAGGCTTGAGGCTTCATCAGTGTCTTCCAGGGAAAGCCTGCAAGGCTCTCCTTTTCTTCCTGATGAGACAGACAGCAGGGTTTTCTTCACATTACACTACATAGAAGCCTGCCCTCTGGATTCAAGCCACTGACCTATTTCAAATGAGGTTAGAGGAGGACATTCCTCTTGTTAAAAAGGGATTGCAGACTGCAAATGAGCTCAGTGTGGGCTGAACCCATGGGCGTACAGAAATCAGAAACTGTGAACTGAGCATGCCTGCACTTCCCTCACTGGGACCCAGGCCTGGTCTAGAGCGCATCATGGAAGCGGCCAGAATTGTGTGTTTGATTCATTCTGCTACACCGAAGAGGAGAAGAGGAAGACATAATGGACTGAACCAAGAGTTCCTTCTGCCTTCTGGACTTCTACAGTCACTTAGGACCTAACCTTCCAGGACTTAATTATTTGGTCCACTAAGTAAGGGTTAGATGGATTGGACAGACAGCAACTTTCAGAGCCATGTTTGCGGTATTTCCCTCAGCTTCCAGTATGGACATGAGATAGGGTATTTTCTTTTTGGCAATCCCCGATTCTATCCCATTGGTGTCTAATATTCCCATGGTTGAAATTCTGAATTTCAGACAAGCCACCCATCCCTGGAGAGTACTTGCCATTTTACTTTACTATAATGGACGTCCTTTCTTCTTGCTGCATTCCTCTAGGGGTAGTTTACTAAAACCGTGAGAGAAGGTACATTTCCTTCCCACATTCAATTGCCCAGTAGGCAAACAAAAAAGAAATTGCTATTGTTTAAACGGACAAGCTCAGTTGTGGTGCATGCCTTTAATCCCAGCACTTGGGCAGATCTCTGTGAGTTTGGTGCCAGCCTGGTCTACAGAGCAAATTCCAGGATAGTTAGACATACACAGCAGGGATGTCCTGTCTCAAAAACAAAAGCAAAACAAAATAAAAGCTGACAAAAAGTTCATATTTGTAGTATGTATGAGCAGTTCTGGGAAAGGGTGACAACCAAATAAGCTATTTAATTTCTTTCTTTCTTTCTTTTTGGTCTTTTGAGGCAGGGTTTCTCTGTGTAGCTTTGGAGCCTTGCTCTGTAGACCAGGCTGACCTTGTACTCACAGAGACCCGCCTGCCTCTGCCTCCCAAGAGCTGGGATTAAAGGCTTGCGCCACCAACACCTGGCTCATTTTATGTCTTAAAGGTAGAAGTTACAGGGGCTGGGAAGACGGTTCGGCTGTTTAAGTGTTTGCCGAGTAACTGGACCTGACTTCTGGTCCCCAACACCCATGTAAAAAACAAAAAAGAAACAAGCAAACAATCAAAGCCAGGCATGATGGTGTGTCTCTTCTGCAGGGAGGTAGAGACAGTGTGCCCATGGTATACACTGGCCAGGCTGCCCGGCTGAATCAATGAGCTCCAGGCTCATTGAGAGACCCCATTTATAAAAAAGGGATAAGCAGTGATTGATGAAGATATATCTCTGACCTCACACCCCATGCATGCACACTTGTACACACACAAATGAACACACATACCATACACACACATACATACAAATAAAATGTAATAAATATGTGTATACATACTCAATATATTCTCTTTTGTTTTCATTCGTTACCATTATTTCTGACCCATTGGGCTTCAGATCCACTTGGTATGTCTGTAATTACAGAGGAAAAACCAACAATCAAAGATATGAAGTTATTTAACATATTACTGAATAACATCTTACTATAAAAGGAAGAGAAGCAAAGTTCATTCAAAAATATATCCCAGCAATTGGCTCTGTGTACAGGAGGGTGTCTAATGAACTTTTCTAGCTGTTTCAAGATGCTACACATGTAAAGACCTTATCATTAAAGGCAAATTACTTTATGGTTATTTATGAGTTTAATTATTCTCCATACATTAGCAACAACAAAGAGCAGCAATTTCAAATGCTACTCATTTATCAAGAAATTAATTATGTTGAAGGAGAAAAAAATGCCCGAGAACATCCATCAAGCCCACAGAGATCCAAATTACAATCAACCATCAAGCCCAGAGGTGCAAATTCCAGCATTCTGTTTGTTACTAGAAATCATGTTGCATAAAGAAGGATACATGGAGACAAAATACAGGGATTTAAAAAACAAAACAAAACTCAACTAATCAAACATCATCATCAACTAACACCAAAAAGGAAGGAAGGAAGGAAGGAAGGAAGGGAGGGAGGGAGGGAGGAAGGAAGGAAGGGAGGAAGGAAGGAAGGAAGAGCAGAAAGACACTTGCTTAAGAAACCAGACAGAGATTATATGTTACTTTTTATAGGAGGCCAGAGGAAAACTCTCCTACCATGTGAGTCTCTGGGATCTGTATTTGTATTCTCCTTTTGGTAACAGTTATTTTTTTTTACAAATTATTTGAATGATTTGTACAATATATATATATTCCAGGGTTATCATATATACACCAGGATTGTCAGTTTATAAAGTAAATATCAAAATAGACTACACAACTATCAAAAGATGACATTCATTGTAGCCATTAAAACAGCACAGGATATTTACTGACATTTTTAGTGTATCTAATTCTACCTCTGGAAACAAACACAAGCAAACTTGTGTCTACGTGCCTGCACAGAGTTATTCAGGAAGACGTGAGTGAAAATTTTCACCATGATATTTCTTGAGCTGGTGGAATCCTGTAGGCCATATATTTTGTGTGTGTTTATTATACTGGATTTATTTTTACTAGGAATCATCTAAGTTGGTAGAACTGTTTTTGAAAGAAAGAGACTAGACCATTCATGCTAAATAATGAGGCCATGACGGTAAGGCGAGGCGTGGACGATCCTGCCAACTGGGTCCTCTCTGTCAGGGGGCAGAGAGAGAACACACAGCAGCCCCATTCTTGAGCCTCCAGACTCCAGCAGCAGCTTCTTCGTGGGGCATTGCTACCCCGCTTCCCATTTCACTTGTGCTATTAGCCACCAGGGATGAAGTTTAGAGCACTTCCAGGGCCCCAGGACAACATGGTATCCATGACATGGGTGCCACTGCTACCTCTTTGAATTCTTTGAGTGCCTGAGCTGAAGGGGTGTGTGTGGGGGGAGGGGGAACCAAGTTCCTCCCATGCTAACGCTTTATTATGTGGATGCATTTCCTGGAGAGTCCCACACTTCCACCCTTCTATTATTTGCATTCCCTCCATTCTTCAACCCTCCTGTCTTCAAACACCATGGACTGCATGTCATAGCGCTGGCAGCCCAAAGCAGCTCAGGCAACAGGCAGCTGAGCACTGAGGAGGCAGGGAGGAAGGCAGATGAAATTCTAGATCATACGTAGTGGCGGTTTAGCCATGCTGTGCTACAGCCCACAGCAAAGGAAACATGTTGAAGAGCTGGCCCCACATACCTGCCCAAAGTTCTCTTCATCTATGCAGAACATGAGGTCAAGTTCTGTGGGGTCATTTTCTAAGATCCACTTCAAAGAGTTGTAGTACTCGCTGTCCTATAGGAATGACACGGAGAGCAAAAGTGAGCATTCATTTTCAAACCCAAACCCATTTGGCTCCTTTACTAATAAACTCTTAACTAATGTAATTCCATGCATAATATGCCCAAGGGTGACACCACTCACCACAGTGTCAGGGAGCCTGTTCTACCAAACCACTTCCCGTTTCTTAAAGATTTCCTTTGTGTCTGCATGTGCACACACATGAGTTCAGGTGCCCGTGGAGGCCAGCAGAGGGAGTCAGATCCTCTGATGGGCAGCTAGTTGTGTGAGCCATGCAGGGAACCTAATTCCTGTCCTCTGTAAGAGCAGCACACATTCCTAACCACTGAGCCATCTCTGCAGTCACATCTCTCCACTAGTTTAAACCACAAGAACTCTGGACAGTGACAGTATTTGTGACTTCCTACTGTTCTCTATGGCTAAGGCCACCCTCCTTGAGACTCCTCAGGCACCACTCCACACCCCAGATCTTGTAGCCCCACAGTGGTCTCCAACACCTCTTCCCGACTCAGCTTCCAGGGGCTGGGATTATAGCCTGGCTACACCGTTTGTGGCTATTCCATACCTGGCTCAGGTCTGCAGAATTTAGCACAGTGCCCTCCTGTCCTCTAAGAGTGAGAATATCAGAGAGCAGGCAGGACAGTGTCTGACTAAACAGCACACATTTTGTGTTCTTTCCTCTCCTGCTTTCCAAATGTTCTTTGCCCATTTATTTAACCAAAAAGTAGGGCCGTGTTTCAGAAAATAGAAGCCGTGAGACCATCAGGTCCCCTCTGCTCATGCCCAGAGGCTATCGTGGAGAACATGACAGGCTCAAAAGAGAATAAACAATAACGTGCACATCACATTTAATGCACTAGTGCTTGGGCTGCAGAGATGGCTCAGCCATCGGCAGGGTATACTGTTCATGTGGAGGGCCCAAGTTTGATCCCCGACACCCACTGGGTAGCTCACAACCACCTGCAACTCCAACTCCAGGGCAAATCTGATGCTTCCAGCCTCTGTGGGCACCAGCATTCATTTGCATGCACTACTCTCCCAATACACATAATTAAAAATAAAATAAATACTCCAAACCCCCAAATACTAATGACCAATAGGAACCACAGACTTAGGCATTAAGAGCAATTTGTAGAGCAGGGCAATGCTGCACATCTATAGTCCCAGTACTTGGAGCAGAGGCAGGAGGATTGTGTGTTCCAAACTAAGCTGGACTACATACATAGTGATATCCTGTCTCAACCTCCTTCCCCCACTGCGGGTAGTAGGGAGCAATTCCTGTGATCCCGGCCTCCTCGGGGTAGCGCAATAGAAGCATAAGTTGACAAAGGGAAAGTTGGAAGGGAAAAGTGAGACTCAACTGAGACTAAAGATGTTCATGTGGAGTGACTGTCCCTACTACTGTGACTGCAAACATGGTTCCTGACTCTGTCTGTAAGGTGAGCGTGGCCTGTGATGGCTACAAGACAGACTGCTTTTACTCACCACAGATTCCATGTCGTTCAGGGTTATCTGCTTCCCCAGCATCATCTTGTAGAATGGTCGGATGAAGAATCCTGAAATACGGCAACAACTTGGTTAAGTTTTAAGCCCTGGACACTGCTATGTATCTGCGAATGGAATCGCAGGATAAACTGCTTCCCATGTAAATGGGAGGTCATGACTGAACGATCGAGAACCTTTTAGAGTAGTCTACGAGCAAGTGAGGAGGGGACACTGGTTCCTTTTTAACTGTTAGCCTGAGATAATCCAGAATCACCCAGGAAGACAGTCTCAGTGAAGAGTTACCTACATCAGTTTAGCCCATGGACATATCTGTAAGTGTCTCAAAAACTGTTGATTGCTGCAGGAACACCTAGCCCACAGCATGAGGCGCCACTCCCTAGGAAGGGGCCCTGATCACCTCTTTGCTCTTAACCATGCATATGACGTGACCAGCTGATTGAGTTGTCTCCAAAATGACGGACTGTAACTTGGAACTAAGTTGAATTGACCTCTCTTTTTGTGAGGGTATTTCACCATGGCAACAGAAATGAACTGTGACGAGGGCCTGGGAAGCAGTGAAGTGGAGGGTGTCTGTACTTGGAGATGCCTTAGCAGCAGGTGAAAATGGCTCCCAGGTAGCACCAAACAAGCTCGGGCCAAGCACAAGCATGTGGTGCCACCAAGGTTGGCATCAGCAGAGAGCTGTTAGGTGAGTATAGTGTCTCAGGGAGGCCGGGCCAGAAAAGAGACTTCTCCAGGGCAGTGCTAAGTCAATGAGGTCAGGCGAGCTCCAGTTGTACATCAGTGCCGCTACCTGGGGTTCACAAGGGCTGCCAAGGCCACAGGAAGGCCATGGCAGAGAAGACACCTCCCTCCCCACCAGGAAGGCTGCACCTTTGCCTCCAGATGTGGGGCCCCAAGCAGCGCAGGCAGCTTCAATTTGACTTAGCGGAGCCCCCAGGCCACAGATGGCACCCTTTAACGTCTAGCGAAGTAAAAACATGGTGCTGACCACAGGGGCAGACAGGCTGAGCGTGCTCTGCCAACAAGATATCCATGTGCTGAGAAACGGAAGACCTGCGGATTCTTGACAAATGCACGGTCCCCTCCGAGGGAACTAGCTCAGTCACCTCTGGTCCCCATCCACCCTTGGCTCTCTCCATTTTCCCCTCTGCGGGGCTGAGAGCCGACCAGCCCAGGATCTTCCCGAAATGAACATGGCTTTTGATGCTTCCAGGACGCTCAGTCCCAGGGTACAGTGCTTCTGTGCCTCCGCAGGCCAATCTGCAGGGGGAGGCCATCACTACTGCTCTTTCTGTTTCTACCTTAAATACCAGGTCACTGGGGTCAGAACCATGTTTTAGAGTTATCTATTTTTCCCTCACAGTCATAAAGAGGTGCTTACTGTATACATACATACATGGGCAGAGTCATAAAGAAGTGCTTACTGTATATGCACACACATGGACAGAGTCAGAAAAAAGCACTTACTGTATACATACATGAACATGAACTGTGCTCAACTCACACTTGAACAGTGAACCAAACAGTACCATGTACCTTATACATACAGGGGACAAGTCAGAAACAGTGTCAACCTCCCCCTTGCAAAATAAAATATTGATACCATAGAATCACAATTAGCTAGCCATTAGTAATACAAATATATTAAAATAAAAGTTTGGAGGGTCCATCAATTATTTACTGGAGTAGCTCAAATTCCTTGCAAACAGCTCTCACCATCGTAATGGGGATGCTATCTTCAAGCATTCTACACTCAAGTCTTAAATTTCTCGTAAGTTTTTGCTCACTAATGATTTCTGTAGCGCTCTCTCATGTAAGGTACTACTTTTGAGATCACCAGTTCCGTAAGAGATCTGTATGACAGGCTTCGGTACATACATGTGGGAGAGGCTTTGAGTTCTAACTTCTCATACCCTGGAGTTCCTGTGTATTTCCTCCCAAGAAGAACACATATAATTTGTTCCATTTACTTCAGAAAACACTGTAGGGTTAAGGCCTTAGCTGAGTGATAACTTCACTTTGAAGCCATTAAAAACTGATTTGGGGACAAATGGAGCAAAGGCAGGCTGCTGATGGATTAGATCATTTGTTTTACTTTTCAATTAAATTTTCCATCTGTCGCCAAATGTAGCTCTCACTAGAGGAAAGGTATCCTGAAAAACACATGGACTGACTTGTGCTTCAGACTTAGTAGTTACAAAGGATAAGTATATATAGATGCCCTAACTTCCATGCACCAGACTACATCAGAGGACCACTGTTAGGAGAAAAGCTGAGAACATTCAAGGTCCTGGGTTCAATCTCCAGCCAGAAAAGAATCATCTAGGGAGAACCAGTGAAGCTCGTACTTACCATCTACATGTAGGCTAACACACCAGACTACAGAACCGCAAACGGGACTGCCTTACTTTTATGACCACAAGGCTCTGTAGTAACTCACCGTCTAAGAGTTTCCCATGAAACACTGCCAAGCCAGCAACTCTTCCAATGAAAGTGAAATAGGACAAATGATCTTCATTACAGAGGCCTGAGTTGGGATTGATCTGAAGTGTGTAGTTGTCCCTTTGGGAAGGAAAAGAGAAAAGTCCAATCACATTTAAAGAAATCCAAGAAGCTGATCTTGCCTTTGCGGCTGGTCACTCCATTTTACAGTGCGCTTACAAACCTTTGGGACTGACATGAGTCGGGGGATGTAACCCACCAGTCAGACATCCCTTTCTGTAATTGACAGTTATGGGTTATGGGAGCAGGTAACATGTGGAAATTGCTGACAGTTGCCTAATTTTTATCTATGGAAGTGCCAACTTCAGGGGCCCAGGGTGATAGCTAAGTCATAAAGTACTTGCCTTGCAAACATTCGAGCTTCAGTTTGGTCCCAGAACACACATTTAAAGAAGCCGAGTGTGGTGACTCACACTTGTAATCCCAGGGTTTAGGAAGCTGAAACAGATGGATCCCTGGGTGCTTTCTGGCTTCCTAGCTACTTGGCAAGTTCTAGGCCAGTGAGAGACTGTCTTAAAAAACAAGGTGAGCATACCCAAAGCTGTCCTTTGGTCCTCATACACACACATATACATGTGCACTAATACATACGAACACACACATACACACATGTATGCATGTGCACTAATACATACAAACACACATACACACATGTATGCATGTGCACTAATACATACAAACACACATACACACATGTATGCATGTGCACTAATACATATGAACACACACACACAGCCAATTTCAAATGGGCCAAGCACACATCCTGAGAAGATGAGGATGCTCACAGTGTGAAGGGTATGCAGAGATTCTGAAGGACACACATTCTGTAGATGGTTTCTGTGGTTAAAGGCTGATTCCTTTGAGAGGCTTTTGATTTGGGGATTTTCTCTACAGTTCCAATTCTTGGTTAAGTGATTCTTGGTTAAGAAGAAGGTGGCTTTCTCAACAATGCAAGCCCCAGGACACATCCCATGGTCCCTTTTGGACTCACAGTTATGAGGACAAGGAGCTTTCCACTAGACAGTGCAGACTGATTTTTATTTTTTTAGGAGTTACCTTGGAGATGTAGGGAGTGGTAAGGACTTTGGCTCCTACCCTGCTTTCTGCTTCAGTGGTGCTAAAGTTTTCCACAGTGGATTCTCTCATAAGCCTCACTAACACCCACCACTAACCAAGACAGTTTCTGGCTAGATCAGTTGAAGATTATCCTGAGATAGCCTTCCCAATGAGCCCTACGATACAGGAAGATGCAGAAGGCCCATCAATTGCAGTCCACTCTAGAACAACACTAAACAAACATCTCTTTTGCCAAGATCAATTCATCCACCAGGAGTTCAGGATGGGCCTCAAGCTCTTGGGTAGTCTCAGCCCAGAGAAAGCCGGAGCCAAATGTTTGCTGAGAGACCAACCCAGTCTGCGTTAGTTCCCTTGCCAGGCAGTGATGAAATTCTAATGTAAGGCATAGCCTGGTTCTTCTATTACGGGGCCAGGGTAATGTCCTTTGTCTCCCAGGCATAGGTCTTCAAAAACCTCATAATTAAGTGGTGTGACTTCGGAAACAATCCTTGCTCATGGGGCTTTCTGAAGTCTGACACTAATAAACCCTTCCTTCAATTAGAATGGCATCACAAATTTAAAAAAAAATGCCCTGCTCCCTTTGTAATTACCAAACAGATTTTCAGTTTCAGTTCTGTGAGCCAAATTGACAGGAGAAGAGTCACTTTCAGGTGTTTGTGGTGTATGGTATCTCGCCATGTTGGATCAGAACAAGAGTGGTAGGGTGGGGTGTTACTTGTCTTTTAATTGTGATTTACATCAACTAAGAAGAAAGCCTTATGAGCGGCAGGGGAGGGGCACACACTCCAACTGTCTCCCATGTACTTACGTGGCAGAGTACTCAAAGAGGCCGTAGTAGGGGTTGAACATTTCTTTTGACAGTAAGAAGAACCATTCCCTGGCCACGCCCCCGTAGTCCAGGCCTTTCTCGGATTCAAACTCAATCCACAGTCTAGCCTTTAGGACATCGGGTCTTTTCACAGACATGATCCTCCGATAGGACTCTTCAAATATGTTGTTTCTGTGGAGTTTCATTTCAAACCTGTTTGGAATATCAGCCTAGATGAAGAGGAAAAGAGCAGCTCATGATCATACGGTATGAACACACACACCCTCCCTTCCTTGGTTTTGTCATTTGGAAAATAACAAAAGGGTAGAAACGATGAATGTGCAGTGACAACTGAGAGACTCTCCTTTGCGGGTCTGTCCTCGCACAGATGGAGAAGCTCACTGTGTCAAGATGGGACACACAGAAACATCCATTCACAGTTGCTGAGCCAGCCACACATCTTCAGATCAACATCCGCCAAGCCCAGAAATTCATCCTTACCACCAGGTTGACACGGGCACTTCCCCCCACTGGCATCTCCATACTGATTCAGTCAAAAGAAAGACTGAAACCCAGGTAATTAAACCCTTAAGTAATAACCCCCAAGCAAGTGGAACCAGTCTTATCTGTGGTAGGGACTGCCGTTAGGAGAAGCAATCTATAATGCCTGCAAGTTCACTGTGCTGTCATGGGTGAGTGGGACCTTCACCCTACTGAGTTTGACAGAAGCATCCTCAAACCCAAAGCTGACTGAATGAGTGACACCCAGTCTGAAGTGAGGTATGCAAACAGTCTTCTGGAAAGATGAGGTCCAGGCCAGCCTTGCTCTAGATGGGTGACAGTCATGGAGCTCCTTGTCACTGGAGAATACATGGATGACTCACAAAGAAACACTATTGTACACCCCACTGTGGGCTTGAAGGGCGAAGAGTCTATAGTCATGAATGAAGAACTTGAGTCACAACCTTGGGACAGAGGATTGAGTGACAGCACAAGCTGCCAGTACCTCTTCACCACAGGACAACGCTCAGAACTAGACATCCACTGGAGGGAACCATGACGGGGAGGCAGCCTCAGGCAAAGGCAGCATTATGGTGGGGCTCACACTCTCCTTGCCCAGAGGCACCAAGTTTCTGAGCAAACTGAGGGCAAAACTAAGGTCCATACCAGAGAGGTAATGGACACAGAAGACTGAAAGTTGGAGGTGAAAGAACATGCCAATAGCAAACACCACCAACTCAGTGCTGGCTGTAAAAATCTCCTAGGGTCTCTTGGTTGTAAACTGTTAGTGAGAATTGCAAGAAAAAAAAAGGATTTACACTTGGGCACATCACTGCCAACTTCATGTTAAAATATCCATGTTCTAGAGATAAGATTGCGTCTCTGACTATAAAGAAATGTAACTCTATGTCGTTTTCCCAGACTTCTTGCCTCTGGTCTCAACTTATTTTCTATTCCGTAGGAATCATATGTCCTTTTTTGTCTCTCACAAGCAAGTGCCCTCCAGGTGATGTGATACATGACACTGTGTTAGTCTTCACTTACTATTTCTATTAAAAAGAAAATTCCAACTGAAGACCTGGGTGGACCAAAGGGCAGGGAGAAAAGGAAGTGTATACAGACAAGTCACAAATGGTATTTTCAATGAGGCAACTTCTGTGTTAGGAGCAGAGATAGACACAGAGATTTTCCAAGAGTTAATTACTCACAGGTTTCTTTAATTTCTTCCTAAAGTAGTCATATTTCTGCTTAAATTCTCTGGAGTAAGGAACAGCCTGAAAGAGAGATTCATACACACAGATAATGTAAACAGATTGATGCCTGAAATCTTATGTATAGTGAGCCAAGGCTGGCAGAGTTTCCTGAGTTGCAAACCTTGAAGCACTCATTTTCTGCATTTTCTACAGAAAATCTGCATAATGTCTACACAGGGAAAGGGGAAAGTCCTAGAAATGGTGAGTGCTAATCAGCACAACTAACTAGACAATAGCCAAGGAACCTCTGGATCACACTGCACAAGCTGGTATACTTTCTTTATGAATTTTGCCAGAGTCTGAGTCAGGGTAACACACGGAGATACATAGATATGGAGCATCCTTTATAATCATATTATTTGTCTTTCCTGGAGTTAAGTGTTATCAGCTATGGCACTTTAACATACAACCCCAAGTGATATGTAGAGGTCATTTAAACAGTCTTTGTGGGAAGCCAAGCATGGTACTCAATGTTAGTAATTCATTACTAACAGGGGGAAAGGCAGGATGATGTTGAGTTCAAGACCATCCTGGACGATACCTCAAGATGCTGCCTCAAATATCAAGCGTTGGGGGCATAACCCAGTGGCAAAGAGTATGCTTAGGAAGTGCAAGACCCTGGGCTCCATCTCTAGTGCTATAAACCAACATGAAAAACTTGTAGAGAAATACCATAAACACAAAGGGCAGCAGGCTGGGCCACGAAGTGGAAATTTTGAGTAAATGAACTTTGGAAAGGACTTAGATTGAGGAGTCACAGGGTTTGCCTTTGACCTTTGCCTTCAGTTTTAAGAAAGCACCCCTCTCCTAAAAAACAAAAAACAGCCCTATTCTTTGTAGAAAAGTTCATGCCATTTGTTTTGAATACAAGAGCAATGACGACATCTTGTTCCTATGCAGTGCTTAAGGAGGTTCTAAAGACAAGTCTGTCTTTCTACCTGCAGACTTGTCTCCATGTGGGTTTCCACTGAGACTTAGAGCTGACCACACTTCCCATACATTTCAGGCAGAGTTGTAGCTAACGAAGCCATAGATGAGTTCTGATACTTGCTTGTCCCTAGAGAGCCTCCAGCACAGAACAAAGACAAAGGGTTCTGATAGAAACTAAGATGACTTCACGGTCTTCATTCTATTAGCATTATATTCCATCACAAATAGCATTTTCCTCACATCTCTTATGTGCTGACCTCTCTGGTGGCTTGCTTGCTCACCTATCAGCAAGTATTTGTGAGGTTCTCTCTGCCAGGTTCTTTTAAGTAAAAAAAAAAAGACTGAACACAAAACAAAGTCCTTTCCTAGTTCCCTCTAGGAGGGTCACAGGTAGTATGAGGAATTAACAAGGATCCTGTTAAAAGGAGATTTCTTGGGACAAATTTGTCTGAGCTTAGGATGTCAAGTAATTTTTCTTCTTCCTTTTTAAAAGACAGACTATTGCGAAGTGGCTCACCCTGTCTTCGAACTCTTGTTTCTCAGCCTCTCAAGAGAGGGATTACAGGTGTGTGACACCACATCTGGTTAAATAGCTTTCAATAACTAGTTAGTACTTTTTGAGTAGAGGTGGGTGATAGACAAATGATGGAAAACTTTGAAAAGAGCAGAACTTGGCAAGCCTGTCTCTAGAGAAAGCACGGCCCTCAGTTTACCTTGTTTCCAGCAACATGTGGGGAAATACACTAAGTGATCGATTGTGACTATGACTATGTATGTAAAAAAGAAGCCACCATTGTGAGGAAGTGTTCTGAAAGGTACATGAAGGAAAAGGTGGTCAACTTTTTTCTAAAAGGGCTGTTTCCATAGAAAACAGTACCAGAGTAGTTGAATAAGCCCATTTAGTTAGTTCAATAAATGGACAGTTAAAGGGAAGTTACTGATCAACATACATCTTTACTGCCGGATCTTTAAATTTTCAAATTACATGAGCTTTATAATTTAAGAATAATTTAAAGCAAATCAGATTAATGCCACGAAGTGTTTTATCTACAGCTGTTAAGCTCAGCATGTTGGTTCCATTTTCTCTTAAATTCTCTGGAAATTCTTTGACAGTTTCACAAATGTGCATAATGAACTTTCATCATTTTTATGACCCTCCCTACCCCTCTCTTATTCCCACTAAAACACTTCTTTCTAACATGCCTCTTTCCTATGGTGGGTTTTCTTGTTTGTGTCCCACTGAGTTTAACTTAGGAAATCATATTACCTCCCACCCCCCAGTAACCACTAAGTGCCAATAGTTCCTCGGGGAAAGGAGGAGCCTCATGAGTACCTCCCCTGTCGATGAAGAAATACTGATGGGCCAAAACTTGTGCAGGAGTGCTCTTGAATTATTTTAAAAGAACCCCAAATCTGCAATCTCCTGTTGTTCCCAGTGAATTTCCTATACCAATCTCCCAATTTATGTCCCAGGACCAGTAGGTCACTGGCAAACTCCATCATGTACTCCCTGCTGATGAGTGTGTCTCTAGCAAGCAAAGACTTAGGACTTTCCCTTTGCCCGTGAATACAGGGTGCTACAAAGTTTCAGGGGATCATCACTATAAGTTGGAGGGGCATTATCTAGCCAGCATGTATGAGTGGCACTGGGATAGAGTCAGTGAGTCAGCAGAGTTGCAGATGCATGACCCATAGCTTTGCAACTCTTCTCAACAGGTTTTGAAAGGTGGAATGGACTCAAGTTAATTAGCATGCATTTATTATCCTTGTCCTAAAGCAAATGACAACATCCTAGAAATGCAGGGCTTGGTTTTGCAGCCTATAAAAAGGAGTGCCTCTGTGGCGATATCTGTCATGCACAAATAAAACCTGTCTGTGGGTCAGAGAATGGAGCTTGCCACTAGCTAACCACTGAGGTCTGGAGGTCTGTGCAGACAGATAGGAAGTGATGTAGCTGGGCAGAAACAGGATATAAACAGGGAGAAACAGGAAATCACTGTCTTCTCTGTGGAGTTGCTTAGGAGGTAAGGTATACTATGGTTTGCTTCTTCTCTCTGATCTTCAGACAGGCTTTATTTGTGTAAGAAAGATATCATCATATGTCCCCCCCCCTCTTTTGAGACAGTGTTTCTCTGTGTAGCCCTGGCTGTCCTGGAACTTACCCAGGAGACCAGGCTGGCTTTGAACTCCTGAGATCTGACTGATTCTGCCTTCCCAGTGCTATGATTAAAGGTGTGCACCACCACTGCCTGGTTGAGTGCCTTTCTCTTAAGGAGTCCATACCTACACTTGGGTGCAAGGTATCTCTTTTTTTTTTTTTATGAATGCCTCTCTTCCTCCTAATTCTCACGCATAAAGCTATATTAAAATATCTTCAACCCAACTCTGCTTTACTGTTTTTTTTTAAAGGAGAAAATCCCAATTACACATTTAACCATCCTTTCAGAAAGAACATTTCAATATGCTACTATTATCACACCATTTTCTGTTCCTTTATAATCTGTCTAAAGTGAAGGCCCACACAGCTGGACTCCATCTGCAGTACTCACTGAAGAGATGGGATAATCTTAAAACTATTCAATTCCACTAGTCTCTTAACATCACAATAATAAGCAATACACAAGAAGGGTGTGGTATAAGCAGCCACAGGCTCATATGAAGGGGAAGAACATGAGAATACTGACCGGACCAGTGATAGCTGGGTTCTGTAGTCTTGGATCTTCCCACTGAGTGATTTTGCTATCTGAAAACGTTAAAAATACAGTGCATTAGCTCTCATTCCTTTTGTATATAGGATGTTTCAGAAACAATCTCCTCCAAAGTCCATCCAGTCTCTTAGGCTTGACCCCAGGGAGTATTTAGTATTTTGGGTTAGAAGGTAACTCTGCTGTACATGGCAAACATATATTCAATTAGTTAAAAATAATTAAAAATGCACAACAAAGTTAAACCTTTTCTTTGCAGTTTTTGGTGAGCAATCTGGTAAATCTGCAATTATAAACCCCCTTACTCACAAGGATTTATAACTTGATTTCCAAATGGCATAAGATGCTTTAGTTGCCTTGGAAGTTAACACACATACACATTTTCCCCCTCATTTCAAATACTTCTTAAAATTTGCTTATGATATTGAGATAACCGCTTTCTAGTAGGGAGTCTACATTGAATATATAATCTACCCTGTGCACCTCTCACGGGCAGATATAATTGAAACAGCGAGGTGGTCTCACACACACACACACAAATAGATACAGCTGATGAGACTCCAGAGACTGGGGTCCCTCGCAGCCTGGCTGGGCAGAGGCAGTTTCCTTTCTTCTAAGACCGTGGGTGAACAAAGCTACTTTCCTCCAGCTACACCTCACTTGCCCGGGTGGTAACATAGAAAAGCTGCCTCGGTCATGCGGGTTTCACCTGTGCATGATTAAAAGGCTCCCGAGAGGTGGAGGTCTGGGGGACTCATTCAAAAAAGATAAGGAGTGGGCAGGTTGGGGTACAAAAAGTACTTTTGAGTTGAAAAGAGAAAAGGGGGATATTATTTCTCTGAAAACTCACCCTGCTCATTCTTAGCCTGCTAGTGAGCCAATGGTAACTCACAGACTCGAGTTTAGCAGGCACCTCAGCTAATTTTTAAACCCTGATGTTATTACCTTCACGAAAGCAGAGGTGTTGTTAACAAAATGCTCCAGGCTGATTGCCATTAAAGCAGATGCTAACATATGTCATGATGAAACCCCTTATCTGTGTAATGAATCCATACTAGGGATAAAAGTGATCTACTTTAAAAAAACAAAACAAAAAAGTTCTAAGACTATATTCACTTATTTATTTTGGCTTGGTAGAAAAGTCGATGAATGAAAAGCCAAACAGACAATGCGGGAGGTACTTTGCATTGTTTAATTTCTAAAATAGAGAAGACTTTGGCAAGGAAAAGCTGCCAATGAGATAGAAAATCCAATCCAATCAAACAGAGGTCACAGAATACAGTGGGTTACATCTGGATATAGCTGGATAGAGCGGTGCCTTTATAGAGCACACTGGGTAATATCTGTGCTGGCTGGGTGTTTGTCATCAAAACAGAAGATAAACCGTCCACTCCCAACACACGAGGACTTCCAAACCTTCTGACCAGACTGAATGCCAGACTCCATCCCTGACACTGGCACAGGGGTCCCTAGGATTCCTGAGCAGGTGGTCACCAATATCATGGAGGGTCCCATGTAACCCGACACTGCAGTCTGCAGCCTGAGGATTAATCCGGAAGGCTGATTTGACTGAACTGAGATTAGTGAGGCCAGGCTCTGGGTGTGTCTGTGAGGGCTTCTCCAGAGAGTGCTAACTAAGGGGGTAGGGGGCAGAGCTGCCTGAATGTGGGGAGCACTATCCTAAAAGATGGGTGCTAGGGCGGATGGAAAGGGGAGAAATGAGGACACCCATCAGCCCAGACATTCTGTCATTCTCTTCTTGTCTCCCATATTTTTCTACCACCATGATGGTGAAGAATCAACGGAGCAAAGGACCAGCATAGACCTCTGAAACTGTGAGCTCAGACAAATTCTTCCTCCTCCAAACTGCCTGTGCCAGATGTCTGTCACAGCAACAAAAGCCTGACCAACAAAAGCAGTGTCATCATCCACTGACTATAAAATCCGCAACCTGCCCGTGTCCTTGCCTGTCCTTGGTGATCATCAAACTGTCATCACGTGTCTCTTCTTGCATCTGTTTCCTGGACTGTTCTATGCTCTAGACTTCCAGTGTCATGGCCTAATGAGCCTCCATTCAAGATTTCCTCCACAGGTCTACCCAAAGTTTACTCTCAAGAATACATCTGACACTGTCGCCGGGCACTGGGAAAGACGGTCGAAGCTCTCACTGTTTGCAGAGTGAATCTGAGTCCTCACACCTGTCAGATACTTGAGTGCCATGCCAATCTCCTTTACATGCTAACCAGGCAGAACAGGACTGCATTCTCTTGAGCAATGGTTCTCAACCTACCTATTGCTGCAACCCTTCAATACAGTTCCCCACGTTGTGGTGACTCCCAACCATGAAATTATTTTGTTGCTACTTCATAACTGTAACATTGTTACTGTTATGAATCATAATGTAAGTTTCTGATATGTGACCCCTGTGGGGGTTACAACTCACATGTTGAGAACCACTGCCCTTGGGGATGGTATAGTGTGACCAGTCACGGTCTTGTAAATGTCTATGGATATTCAAACAAACTATGACCAGAGCTTTAGGGTTTTGAGAGACAGAGCCCATGGGGCAGTCCCCATTCCCAGTGTGGGAGCTGCTGGCTATATCTGGTTTGCTCTAAATTGATGGTCCACTGTAAGAGAACACACCTCACAAAGCTATCTTCAGCCACCATGAAGCTTGAACACCCAGATAACAGGTTCGCCTTCCAACATAATATGCAAGACACCTTCTGGTAGTCTCTACTGGACATGGTCCTTGAGGACAGGGGTTATATGGTATCCAACCCCTCAATTCCTCTCCCCTTCCCAGCACTGAACAGGAGCTTCAGTGGGTAACCCCCCAAACAGCTTCAATCGTCGGTTGGATAACATCTAGGAGACTTCAGAATGAAGTTATCTGGCAAAATCCACCATTATCTTTGTAATGACTTAATGAAGTCAATAGTGAAAACAATGTCCTTTACAAACGGTCTGAGTGCTTAGAGCCACGCACAATTTCCTGGGGCTACTGGGTGGATTTGCAGTGAAGTACTTACTGCCAATAGGTGAATGAGCAGTGGACAGTTAGCCAGTGTTTTTTTTTTTTTAAGAACTTCTGAATCAAAACATGCCTTTTACCTTTGAGACACGCAATGCAAATAAAATGCCAAGAAGGAGGCAAAGGACGAGAAACTCAGCTGCTGTAGCCACTGCTTGGAGGTTTGGTAATTGTACTGGAATTTCTCTTTTAACTTTTGTATTTGAGATACAACTGCCAATGACTCAATTTCTGGACACATCAGGTCTGTAAGAAAAGCATTTTCCACCAAGAGTGCTAGAGATTTCATTCTAGAGATTTCCCTGATACTGTACACAGAAGGAGCTCATCAATAAATATCCACCAGGTGGATCAAGGTGTCCAAACAGATAACTCAGTGCTTCATCTGCCTCTCAAGTCAACAAACACTGTCAATGTAGGAAATACCTATGGTGCCTGGAGTGGAGTCTTGTTCCTGACCTGTGGACATGACGAGGACAAAGGGAGAGGGTGGATTTTGCCAGCTAACTGTTTGGAAAGAGAGACTCACTCTGAAGGTGACAAATGTAAGGAAATTCCTAAATCTTAAGCATCACATGATTAAAGCTATTTTGAGCCTACACAACTGACCTGAGGAAGCCTTTGAAAAAGATAGGGATTTCGTAGTTGATGAGATTTTGGAGGAGAGGCAGAAGAATGGTTTCATTGCCATGTATCCCTTTATGGTTGTCCACAGGGCAAAGCTTGGTAAATTACAGAGAACTGTTTTTAGTGACACTAAGAGTGTAACCTATCCCCAGTTTTAGAAAATTATCAGAATTTAGAATAAATAGTATTCTGGGGAGAAAGTAATGCATATACACATTGAAAGTGTTTGTTGACCACCGTATGCTCACAGTACGATGTTGGAAAGTACATAATTCAGTATTTTTTTCTGATCAAAGACAAAAATCAAAGTTTATATATCCTGAAATAATCTGATTTAAGTCCAAGGGTGGCCCGGCCCGCTAAAGATTCTGAATTTTGGCTGGGCCTTCTCACTGACTTCAAACTCACTGACCCTCATATCAGAAGGCAAGCACTTGGAGTACACTACATCCCCCAGTGACACTCAGAGCAGCTACCCCCCACACAAGATGGTCACCAGCCTGTACATGAGCATTGCCTGGGGATAGGCTTTTCAACAAAACACTGACTAACACACTTTGTTCGCTTATCAAAACCTGAGACCTCGTTCTCGCTTCCTGCTTACAAACTAAACGAAAACACAACAAAATACTACTGACTTCCCACAGATTGGAGCTTTGTATGAAGCCCTTTTTAATGATTTTTTTCACCCTTTCTTTCTTTAGAAGAACAAACTCTCTCAAAAAGGAAACCCCATCCCCCGCCCCAGCCCTCCAAAACCAACTCCTTGGCTAAAAGCAAACATTGATTAGTTTAACTTTTAGATAAAAGGAGAAACCACATATATGTTCATAGGTGCTAAAGCAAACATCTTCAGCAAATATGCTACGGTTTCAGGAAAACAGCTACATACATCATTAGTGTGCTGGGGGCGAGGAAGCATGCTACGATAGAAAATAAGGTCAGAACCGGCGTCTCCCAAAGCAGTGTTTTGAAAGCACACGCAGCTGAAAACACTGCTCATGCGGATTTGTTTAAAACTACATCATTACTTCTAATCTTATTTTCTATTCCCAGAGTGTATTTATTAAAAGCGCAAAATATCAAGGGACTGTCAACAATTTTTTAAAATGAAAAATAAAAAGTTAATAGGTCACAAGATCAGGTTGGGTGAAAGCTCAATAGGCTACTTGGAAGCAAACTTGGAGGGAAGGCACAGTACCGTATGAGGGCACTGATTCTCTGGTATCACTCTCTCCACATAACACCTGGCTGCCTGGACAGGGAGTAAAACGACAGAGCTTCACCATCACATTTGTGTTACCCTCCCCGCTGTAGTTCCTTGTCATGTCTGTGAGCACAGCAGGCTCTACTTACTATGGTCGATGTAAAAAGTCCGGCCATCCAAGTGGATCCTCTCTTCCCAACCAGGCTAGCATCCAGCAAAAGGAGGAGGAGAGAATAGAGACATCGGTTAGCGGTTCCCAACCCCAAGGTGACACTAAAAACTCCAGGACCCTTCTTTTCTCTGCTAGGGACATCAAATGATGCTAACTCAGAGCCACAGCTAACAAGTTACACCAAATCAAGTGTCTTGCACGCTTTCAGCATATGCCAGAAATAGTGCTGTGTGGGAACCCCAGTAAACTGTTCAAGAATTCAGTGTGGGGGCTGACATTACAAGCACTTGATGCTCTTGCAGAGGACCTGGATTTGTTTCCCAGCAGCCACACAGTGCCTCAAACCATCCACGATTCCGGTTCCAGTGAATCTGATGCCTTCTTCTGACTTTTGTGGGCACCGGGCATACATACAGTATATATACACACATCCAGTCAAAACAGTAAGACACATAAAAAATAAATCTAAGATATATTGTAAAAAGAGATCAGCATGGAGAGTTCATTTGGTTAAAACACCTACTGTGTACTTAAGGGAAGGAGGAGGAGGGCTCATATAAACATGTAGCACACAGTGGCTTTATTCTTTATTAAGTGGCTGAGTCACCCAATACTGAGGACTCTCACCATTTAAAAGGAAGAACTAAAAGCTCTGGGCAACCGACCAGCTTTCCCTCGCTGCCTCTGTTTCTGCATCTGGGTGTACATATAGGAAGGTGCATGTGCACAAGTGTGGGGGTGGGGGTGGGGGTCTGAGGTTGATGTCTGCTGCCTTCCTTCATAGCTCTCGACCCTAACAAGGAAGGGTGTCTGGGAGAGCCTGGAGCGTTCCTTTCAGCTGGTCTGAAAGGAACCCGTCCTCACACTGTCACAAGCAAGTGCTTTACCCGCTGAGTCACAGCCTCAACATTTGGGTACTTTTAAAGATGAGGTCAGCATGCCTTACCTGACGCAGAAATAGGAAAGGGTCAGACCACAGACTTTCTTTTTTGGCGTGGTGGTGGTTTCATGTGTGTGTGTGTGTGTGTGTGTGTGTGTGTGTGTGTGTGTGTGTGTGTATTTACACATGCATTTGCAGGTATATGTGCCCATGAATGTGGAGCTGGCCTAGCAGCCAGCGAGCCCCGGTGACCCTCCAGGCCCCTGTAGTACCAGGGGCTACAGACGTGTATGTGGCCGAGTCTACCTTTTCATGTGGGCTCCAGGAATTCCTCACACTTACACAGCAAGCACTCTTATACACTGAGTCATCTCGCCAGCCTAAGACATTTTTTTATACGTCAAAATTTTCCTGCTTGATTGTTTCCCTCAGAAGCCTGGAGTCAATTACATCTGGATGGTGAGGGTTAACTGAAAATCTTACAGATGAAGATTAACCTGTAACTTTTGTGTCCCAAGGTTTGCCATAGTATATCAGACAGCAGTAACAAAAAAGTTCTTATTCTTGAAAAAGAATAATAACTTCCATTTAAAGACAGTGTTAGAGGTTGGGCATAGTGGTCCATGTCTGCTATCCTAGGACATGGGAAGTGAGTTTTGAGTTCTAGGCTGGCCTTGTCTGTCAAAACAAAGAAACAAAACAACAAAAAACCAAAAGCAAAAAGCCAAAAAAAAAAAAACCCAAAAAACCAACCCCCACAAACAAAACCCAAACCAACAACCAACTAGAACCCCAAATCAAAGCCAAACCCAACCCAAGCCTGTCTCTGCACCTTCAGCATTTTTTATGAAGGGTGCACTGTGGAAAAAAAGGCAAACTAAAACTCATCCCAAACTCAGTACAGACCAAATTCTATCATGCTCCCAAAGAGAACAAAATTGAAACAAGCAAACAAACAAAAAACAAAAGACACCCCCCCCACGCCGGTTTATAAAGAATCCACAACAAAGGAAAAAAAAAAACTGGAAAAAAAAGCCCTACAGGTTAAATGACTTAGAGAAACTTCCCGTGGTTATTTGTGCCTTTTCCTTCCATAGTAGTTTCATGGGTTTTGTTCCTACGACTTAGCAGTATGGCTGGAGTCAGTAGTTGCTAAGTTACAAACTAAATGCATGCTGCCTAAATTAGCACCTGCAGTGTACACCTCTTGCACATGTCCTAGATCAAAAACCAAATTCCACTAAGGGCTAGTAATTAAAAGCCTTCTTTTACAAGTCTGGTATTGCATACAATATAATGTGCCTTTCAAACCGCCCTAACATCTAGCCCTTCTAAGGAATACCAACCAATGGACCCAGAAAGCCTGGACCCACAGGCCTCTCCATGACCACAGAGAAGGCAAGCAGACATTTCTAGACCATTTCATGTCTCTGAAGCATACTCACGGGAAGAGGGCCCAAATCATTGGGGTTCAAAGATGCTTTTGACCGCATGTGTACTGGAAATTTCAGCCGTGGATCTTCCTGCAGGAAAAATGTACAAGGCAGCTGTTAAGAGGAACTTACTCCAAGTTCCTCGGCACCTGTGAGGGAATCCCAGCCTTCCGCTTGGTAGAGGAAGCTTGGCTGCCAAGTCTCAGGAAAGGAGAACAAACACTTCAACGAGAGGTTAACTGTTTCCCCAGGACTTAGAGAAGGGGCGGGGGAAGGGGAGGCAACCAGAAAGGAGGACAGGAGGACGCATGGGTATTCTCCAGAGAGGGAGATGGGGTGAGCATTCACAGCCTCTAAATACTGACCCTTTGAGAACAGCATTCCTTAGAACTGGGGAGTCCCCAAATCTTTCTGAATCTGTCTAAGCAGATAGTCCAGAGACAGTCTGCTTCATTATATGAGACATATGTGTGGTAGCAGGCAATTTGAATGGGACTCCTGACTGAATTCTGATGATTAGGTTCTTATTCATGTCTTAACATAAAACTTGATAAGAACTTTTCCTTAAAGAATATTTTCCTAAGAGACCAGTGAAAAAAATCAATGAAAGAGAAATACATGCTCTGGCATCTTGGGTCATGGTTTAATGGTTTGCAAAAAAAAAAAATAGACATCTCATCTTGCCACATCCCTCGTCTGATTATTTAGATGAGGAGAACAATAGCGGAGATCCAGTTCCCCAAACTGACTTGCCAGAGTTGGGAGTTGCCCCTCACTTACATAGAGTCAATTAGAATGTGATGGGCCTTAGACATGTCACAGCTTTTAAACTCCAAAGATCAGGAAACAATAAAATTCAGAACGATACCCAGTCAACCAGAACAACAGCATAATCAACCCAAGGTAAAAAGCAAACCACTGAGACATTTGACACTAGCTCCATCTCATCAAAGTAAACTAAGGCTGAGCTGCCTGTTAAATTACCAAAAGGCCTACTGCTTCATCAATTTCCCCGAATCAACAGTGAAAGCCAAGCACACTGGATTACAACAAAGTGAGAGGTTTTTTGCAAGAATAAGGAAGAGCACAAACAGCACAGGCAGCCTCATTTTCTGAAAGCCAGAGGAGATTTTAATTGAAGACATAAATCATCGTAGCACTTTGTGACAGATGTTGACCCTGAAGCCAATGCATCTTTCAAAAGCCTAAGATGTAGCATCTCCAGTATTCTGCACCCCCCCTGCCCCCGTGGCACACAGAATTGTGCCAAGATTTAGGATTTAGAGAGGCCAAGAAGCCAATGATCAGGATATCACTTGGGGTTGGTTAGCTCGACAGTAGATGTAAATGACCACCACAAGATCTACTCAGTGTTAATTCTTGGCTGGGACAGGCAATACCACAGTGGCCAGAGACCCTTGAAACCCCAAGTAGTCAATGGCCAAGTCAGGTGTACAGGATGGCTATTAGGAGGTGGGGATCCTGGGTGCTTTAGCAGGAAAGGCCAGCCAGGGAGTGAAGTCAACTGGACAAGAAGATTGACTCTGCTGGCTACAGACAGGTGATGCGGAGAAGAAAAAAGATACTGAGATTAATGGAAAGTATCAGCTCCTGGGGGAGGGAAAGGAGCAGGAGCGTTAAACAAGCTCAGCTATGCAGGTCTGCTAACATGGCTTTGTTGGAAACCAGACTTCAGAGCATGGGCAGGCCCCAGACCAACAACTCATATTTTATTGTAGTAGCAGCAATCAAAATAATGGCTGCAGCTGCCAGTAGTCCATCTGTAAGGGATATGGGCATTAACTGCCAAAGCCACTGTCCCTTGGACAACTCAAGAAGGTAGGCGTCTCTGTAGTTGATGGACAAGAGTCATGGCAGTTAAGGTCTGACAGCACTTAGGAACAAAACTGAAATAAAGGTGAGACAGGAACAGATAGTAGTCAAGTATTTAGAACACACTTGGCTATTCCTCCAATTTCTTTGGGTAGAAAATAAAAGGCAGTTTTTCCTGATTTTTAAGAAAATACATAAAATAAAGGCATACAAATTGGTTTTCCCAAATGTGCCTTCCTTTATTCTCAGCAACCATGCCTAGGCTATAGTCAGTTCTGCTATTGTAAACTTGGGTAGCTAGCTGTAATTTAACATAAGGTGTGAAGTTTGTTGTAAAAACAGGTTGATGTTTTGTCCTGTGAAAGGCATCATTATACTAACATACCTGCTGTTTGCTGCTTATCAAGGGGTGTGTGTGTGTGTGTGTGTGTGTGTGTGTGTGTGTGTGTGTGTGCACAGGGTATAAGAAGGCTGAGGTCCTAGTGGCTCCCAGTACGCACTGCTACTGGTGAGGCCAAAGCCATCCTTTATTACTATTTTTTAAAAATGTGATCAGGTTTAATTCCAGTTAGACTGCTGGCACACGGCCTTCATCACCTGTGCGTAGAAAGCCTGTGCACCGTAGATATGCTTTGAATGGACTTACACTCTCTGTGTGTATATAACGAGGAAAATGGCCTGAGCCTTCCCATGCTCCCAGTGAAGTTCAAGAACCCACAGAATGAAACGGGAAGAAGTGGTATTTTCACTGTTCCCAGTTTGTCCTATCAGTTGTTTTTCCCTTTCCTGTTACAGCTCTCAAACCCAAGAAGAGTGTGCTACCTGGACACTGAGCCTTATAACGCCTACTGCAAACATGCCCGAGTTCAGAAAGTTTCTTTTGTGTTCCTGCCTTCTCCCATCCTCTGTCAAGATGGGCGTGCAATTCTGAATCTGTTTTTCAGGATGAGAACGCTGGATGGGTGGACGTCTTTGTCTGGATGAGACAACACACTGTCAGCACATGTACCCTGCTGAGGAAGGGAGGTAGCGAGGGGTTTCCAGTTGTTGTCTCGGGACTTTCAATGGCGGCAGCAATGCAATGCTTTAATTAATTAAGTGCTCAAGTGAGCAAATCAGTCAGTAGTAAGAATCTGGGTGAAAAGAGACAACTGGTAATTAAAAGCAGGTTTCATTTGGCACCAGTGCCAGGGGTAAATAAAGCTGGTGCTATTTAAAATGAAACCTGCCCAGGCGCACTTACTGCAGTTGGGGCGTGAAAGGCCGTGAAAAGGTTAGGGGATTTGATGACTAAGCTAGTTCACATTACTAAAATCATAGCTTATGTTGGCAAGCCACCGTGGCTCCATTCACTAATCCTCTGACTTTTATGATATTTATCCCCTATCGCTGGAGCTCTAGTTTCTGGCTCAGGCTTTGGAACTCCAGTAGTGCCATGGAATATGGGAACACCAGAAGGACAGCCGAGGTTCTGTGTCAATGACAAAAAAAGACCCCAAACCAATCTCCACGGCTCCATTTGCCAAAAAGCTGCTCTCTTCTTCTCAGCTCACGGCCTGTAATACTATCTTCCGACTCAAAGGTGAGTCAAACAAACCTCCATGTCATTCTATGCCTCAGAAGTAGTTATCGGTTTACCAAATGAATGTTATCAGATCCTAATGGCAAGGCTCTTGGCAGGTAAGCAAATTCCTCTTCTGCAAATCAGGGAAGGGCCCTGAGAACCATTCTCACTGTGTGGTGTTTGGAAATTCGGGTGAGTTTCTCCTCATCGGTATATCAGGAGGGTGATGGGAGCCACTGGCATTCAGTGGTGGAAGCCAAGGATGTTAAACATCCCACAGAGGAAGGCACAGGCCTACCCCAGTGGCCAAGAATACTCTTGTGGGGACACACTGCACCTCTGTCCACAGGACATCGGGGAGCACAGTGCCTCTAGTCTTATTCTTAAGGGATTGAATTAGCATTACACCACAGACTGAGTGCAAATGATAGCCAGAGTCACCTTGGGTGGCGCCTTTTCCCTAACATAATGCCGCTGTCCCATCAACCGGACAGTCACCACCACCACAAATGGGAATTGAAGGCGCACGCGCACAGTTGATCTGAGACAAAAGAGTGACCTACACAATCAGATTAGACAGGCAGGAAAAAAAAATGAAGTTCCCGCTGCACCAAAACCAACTGGAAACAAGAGAAGCAAGCTTAGTTGAATTACAAGGCTAGGGACTGTGCAATAGACGAACACTGACTTTTAAAAGTTCTCTACGCTGCCTTAAAAAAGCTACCTCTGACTAGGCTGAAGAAACAAAAGAGTTGCCAGGCGGTGGTGGCACACCCCTTTAATCCCAGCACTCGGGAGGCACAGGCAATGCGGATCTCTGTGAGTTCCAGGCCAGCCTGGTCTACAGAGTGAGTTCCAGGGCAAACTCCAAAGCTACAGAGAAACCCTGTCTCAAAAAACAAAAGAAACAAAGTTGACCGAGGCATACAGAGACATTCTGAAATGACCACTAGAATGAAAATTACTTCTCTTGTAAGCATGTTTATGGCAAAAAGAAATGGCAAAAACATTAGTTTCAAACATTACTTAATTCTTAATACAATTACTAAGAGCATGAGATGTGATACAATGAAGTCAAAAGACTAGCAATGTGAAGGCCACCTTTGCCTGCACCCTCCCATGGAACAAATTATTAAAATCAGAGCTTTCCAGGACTGCCAAGCTGGCACAGTACCCCAGTGGCTAGCATCGGTGTCTATAACCACAGTGTCCAGCAGCCTGTTAAGACACTTGCTTCAGAGTTGGTGACGAAACTCCTCTACAAGGACCACTAGTGCCGAGTCAGAAAGGAAAGGAATGAACCAGAGTTCACGGTGAAAACGGAGCCAAATAAAAGCAGCAGCCTTACCCACGTTGTAGTCTTTGTGTTATGGTCAATGAAGAAGGGTCGGCCGTTTGGAGCTATCCTCATCTCCCAGCCTGGTGGCAGGAAGCTCTGTGTGACTTTGTGTTGTGGTTTGGGGGAGTTGTAAGGTGATGGCTGAGGGGACTGTGGGTTGGAAAGGGTATCTTTCACAGCGCGGCGTATGGGTGAGTCCTTGGCGCCCTAAGGGACAATAATGAGTGTTAGAACACTTCACCACGTGCCAGTCCAACACGCCACAATGCAGCTGGTGCTGCAGAAACTCTTCCTCAGAGACCGGCAAGGGAGAGGTTCCCCCAAACCCCATTTCTCCATTTGCTTTCAAACCAATCTAACCATCACCTTTCTATCCGTTAGATATGCAACAATATCAAGGATGAATAGTCACAACTCTTTGCTAATCATGCCAGCCAAAAATGCCATTTTTATGGGTGGAGATTTCAGAGCAAGCAAGACGGGCTTCTGTTCTCAAAGAGCCCGTTGCCTAATGAGCACACTGATGGGTTTTAGAGTCCAGAAGGAGACCTCAATCGGTAGAGGCAGCCACCTGGAATGACAGTTGTTACCCTACACTCCCACCAGTCTAGAAGTGCTCTCATCCACTCCCATTGCATAGGACCTTGCCTCAGGGGCACCTTCATTTACTCATTGACTTCCTAGCTTTTCTGAGTCTCTGCCATTTGTGAGGTACTGGGCTGCCACTAAAACACAACCAGGAGAGCGCATAAGCAGATGTCCAGCAATGGCTTAAGAGATGAAAATACACATTAGGAACATGTACCCACACCATGAAAGCCCCTACATTCAAAGAAAATATGGACAAAGCAATAACTGTAGTATAAAACTCAACAGAAGCATCGCTAGTTGGAAGAGTTATGAGTTCTGATGAGGTAACAGGCAAGAAGGAGCAAACACAACAGGAATGGTAAAGTTCGGCAGAGACGAGCCCCAGTCACCAAGCATGGCGCCAGCCAAATGAGAATGGAGATTATGAGAGAGTTCCAAATGTTAGCTGGGCAAGACACAGAAGCATGAGGGCAGCCTCACAGAGCATCCTTCACCACCGACACGTAACTGCTCAGTGTGGAGCTGCCTGAGAAATGAAGTCCAGTTTATAGAGAAGAGAGAATGAAGAGAAGCCACAGGTCCCTGTTAGATGAGGCGGCCTTCTCACCTCCAGTGGGGCAGATAAAGTTACTGTTGGCGAGCTGAGGCTACGAGGCCGGCGGATCTGAGGCTCCACTAGGTGGTTGTTACTGTTTGTGGCTGATCCGGAGGCACCATCTTCTGCAAGCTATTTTGGGAGGCAAAAACAAGTTAGCTTTGCATGAGGAATCTCCTTGTGTGTGATCAGGAACATGAACCCCAACAACAACACAAACAGCCATAATAAGAGGTCTTGTCTATTTAAAGCACAGGGGAACTAATTAAACCTAATAATGGGGGCAAAGATGGGGAGACACATTCAAAAGAAACAAAAATGAATCACTGGCCAGTATTAAAAACAAGCCTGGGGGTGGGAAGGGAGCTATCTATGGTCATAGGCTCATGTCACAGTAAAATCAATGTATCTAAGGGCCAAAGTGTTCTTCAGGCAAATGTTCTACTGAGAGTAACACACCTCTTTGGTGAGAATACGCCTTAAACATAGGCCCTTCATAACAGGATGTGAACATCATCAGGGCAGGACGCTGGCCATTACATCTTGGCTGCTAAGGCCCTTGAGCCTGGGTCGGATGGTGATCTTCATACCTGCATTATTGGTCGAGTCCAAGTTGTGGTTCGATTGTTATGATTGACATAGTATGTGCGTCCCTTAGCATCTTTCCTTTCTTCCCAGCCTGAAGGTAGGCCCGGCGTGGTATGTACATAGGCCACTGATGGCTGTTTGTGCAAGAAATCATTATTATTTCACAACTAGAACTTGTTTTCTGACCAATTTATTAAAGTAACACACACCTAGAAATTATATTTCTCTGGTCAAGAAAAGTTAATGCTGGGCCGGGCGTTGGTGGCGCACGCCTTTAATCCCAGCACTCGGGAGGCAGAGGCAGGCGGATCTCTGTGAGTTCGAGGCCGGGCTGGACCGATAGCCTCCGAAACAATACAGAGAAACCCTGTCTCGAAAAAACCAAAAAAAAAAAAAAAAAAAAAAAAAAGAAAAGTTAATGCTGTTTGTATAGGAAAAAACAAAAAACAAAAACACAGACAGACAGACCAAAACAAAACTCACAACCTACATACAAAGAGTATCAGGAAGTCAGAAACAGATTTTAAGAGCTTCAACTCTCCTATCAGATGGAAGGGATCCATATTCTTACAAGATTGGCCTTTAGACCCTGGGGTCTTCAATACAATCATCACTAAGGTGTCTGTAGAGAAAGAGAATGTACCATAACCTAGTCCGGCTGCTGAAGTCCATTGCTATACCACATATCTCGAGAGAGAATTTCAAGCTGCCCAACTCTTATGTCCACAAGAGGAACGCTCTAGACACTTCTAGAGAGCTGGCTACCTACAGATAGATGCTCAGCACATAGTTCTCCCTGAGGCCCAGTGTGCACAAACTTCCAGGGTAGAATGTGACACAGGGCCTTTTCTCTGTGACTTGCACTTCTGTATGGGGACATAATCTCCAGGAACCCTATCAGGTCTATGGAGCCTCATACTGGAGGCTCTGTTTATAGTACTATAATGACATAGGGTATATGTTTCCCAGTCTGTAATTTGAACTGTGATTAGGTAGTGAAAATTCTCTCTCTCTCTCTCTCTTTTTTTTTTTTTTTTGAGACAGGGTTTCACTATGTAGCTTTGGCAGGCCTAGGTCTCACTAAGTAAACCAGACCGGCCTGCCTCTGCCTCCCCCAGGGCTGGGATTAAAGGCATGTGCTAACCACACCCAGCATGAATTTCATCTTTTTATATAAAGAATTCCTTAGACTTTGGCTTGTGTAAGAAGCAGCCTGAGAAATACAGCCTGGGTGAACAGGTATTAGAATATACAGGATGGCTGAATGACTGACAGCAAAGGGATGTCCAGGGCCAGCACTAGCCTAGGAATGCTTGCACATGTGGTACTGTATTTGTGCTGGAGAAGCAGAGCTCTAGGGGAGGGGCTCAAAGGCCAGCCCCTACCAGGGCCACCAAGACTTCGGGGAAGTAGAGGAACAGAGGCCTTCCTCCTCTGAGTGCTGCCTTCCCCATGGAGTCTTCTCCCACCAGCTGCTTTCTTGGATTTAGGCCGATCACATGACTCTCCTCTTACTGTGCCTCCTTTCTGTCCTGCCCTAGCTTCTTCCCTGCTCACTTCTAACTGCTTTGGTGAAGGTCACAGCCACAGAGTCCTCAGTGGATACCCTTAACTACAGGAGGCAGGAACACGTATAGTTACTAAGGACTGCAAACGAAGAGGCTCCTCTGTCTGCTTCCCACGCCGAATACTACACTCCAGAAAAACCAACTTGAAAAGTAACTGGGAAGCAGCTGACTACGTGGTTATTTCTAAGCTGTGTGTTTATCAGGGAGGGAGAGAGTATGTGTAAGGAACCTTCCTGCAGAGAAATGCGGCAAACATCTCCTTGACATTTTCCCAGACAAATCTTAAAGGATAAGGGGATTCCGAGAACAAGTAACTACCTAGAATCCTGTATCCAGGAGCAAGACAACCACCCACTAGGGGATGCAAAGCTCCTATGGCCATGAAAGGCAGACCAATGGTCCACAGCCTAAATGGAAGATACCAGCAACAAAGCTCTACCTCCCTCCAAGGACTTCACCCAGACTGGCCAAAAGTCTGATGTACTGTCAGCTAAGCAAATAGGTAATGCTTTTGGAAAACAACACTTTGACTCAGTGTGGCTTATATGACCAAAACTGGTTTAGCTATATGGATTATTAAATAGCACTTGTTACTTTTCTCCTTTCTTGATGAGTTATGTTTGGAGAGAGGCAGTCTGATATGTTCTCAGAAAATTCATTTCTAGAAACATTAAGACCTTAACAAACAAATGGTAATGACATTCCTGGAACGGATACTTTCGAAGCCACTGACTTGGATATTTCACAGTCTCAGAACTGAACTGTCAGCTGCAAGAATTTTCTGCACCCAGGTTCCACGCACAGATCCACAGTTAACAGGACCAGTCAGTTTACAAAACTAGGAGGACAATGGAGAGAACACTGAATTTGTCTAAAACGACCATTTTCCTCTCTACGGGGACTCGAACAGGCAACTGGTAATATAGTCATATCTATGCAAGATGGTGTTATTAAAATATTTCTTGACAGTGCCCTCACTAAATGAGCATAGAGAACAACTTGCGCTGATGATCGCATTTATGACCAAAACATGGCCATCCAGGACACATGACCAGCAATGACAAGACTCGGCTTCTCCAGACAGCTCAGTGCAAGAGACCCAGGCTTGGGGCCAAAAGACTACACTTTTACTACTATGAGTAAGTGTGCTTCAGACCACCTCAACACACAAGCTAGGCAATCCAAACATAAGCTGAACTTAACATTTCCATTTTCATCCACAGACCAAATATACTGCTGAATTTTATGATCCCAAATTGGCATTCACTTCAGTTTCACTAACTACAATGAAGAACCAGATTATGTTTATCCTGAGAAAATTTGACTATCCATGGACACTGACCATTGTAGATCCTCCATGACTCACCCAGACCCTGACAAAGCGGTATCCCAGGATATTTTTAGAATCTGTTCAGTGAAGATCAAAGGAGTCTCCTGCTTTCTATTTGGTTGGGAGAGCCCTGCTGTGGCCTGTAAGAAAGTGACACTGGTGTACAGGCTTTTGCCATAAATCAAAGGGCCATGACGCCTTGGATGAGGATCAGAGCTTCATCACGGTGTAGGGAGAAGTTTTATAAAGAAGGAGATGGTTACCACAACATAGTGGAGTGGGAATGCCCTTCAACAAGGGAAAGGTGTATAAACTTGGTGTATTTCAATCATTGAATACTAAATGATTACTGACAGTCAAGAAAAATCAATATAAGCTAAAAATAGTTTGCTGAGCATTATGTATGCAACATCATACTGCACCCCCAAAAAAGAACAAAACAGAGCCAGTGCATGTAACTGCAGCACATGCATGCTTGCGAGGCCACAGGGAGGAGTGAGGTGACACATCACAGGGAGTTTCTGCCTGGCATATGCATCAAAGAGGAGGTCAGAGGGGAAAAAATGCTAGGAGACAGAACAGAAAATAGAGATGGGAGGGAAATGGACTTGGTCCTTTCAAACTTATCTAGGTACTGAGAAAGCCTGGCACAACAGGGTGGGGGAATCATTTAGGAACTACCATTGCCAAGCCTTTAAAAATAAAAGACCAAACCTAACCCATGTTTTAGTTCACTGATGGAGAACACAGACAAGAAGGGGGCAAGAACAGGGCAATCCCAAAGCCACATGGGCTTCCTTTCAGATGGATGACCGTGGCCTGTCAGGTATCTCTTTACTATAGTAAAAGGTCTCGTGCTATGGCAGTTCAGTTTGCTCTGTCATTTGCTATCATCAACCATCCTAAGTCTCCAAAGCTATAAGCAGGTTGCAAATCCAATTAAACATAAAAACGGATGCTACATTAAGAGGATGTTTATGGGTATAACGAAACGAAACCATCCCATGGAATGGTCTGCCTCTCAGCCCCACTACTTTCAGAGAAACCACCAGCACACAGGAGATCAACTCCCTCATGTAGACTTCTTCGAATTCTGCAGGCGGTGGGGCCTGGCTCTCCAGTACACGAATCTTAAGTAAGCCACAGCGGCTTAGCAACCTTCCACTGTGCTCTCCGCACTGGCGGCTGTCTGAGTTTCCTCTGTGTAATGCTGAATGGTAGCCACCCTTCAGTAAATCAGCTACTGTGTAGGTGAAGTCGCTCACCAATAGTAAGCAGCCAGAGCATGCACAACAAAAGGTGAAACAAGAAAGTTCTTCAAATAGTCATCTAAGCTCAAAGCGTCAAATACAGGTCTGCTTGCTTGCAAGGATCAAGTACAACACAGAGAAAACAACTAGCCAAATTGAGGCTACATAGAAGCTTAAATACTATTAATCAAAATAAGGAAATGATAACGACAATAGTGGATACTTGCATTGAAATGTCCTAATTGCCCCCTGTCCTGGAAATCATAAAAACACATGTCCATTCCTGTGAGTCAAACTCCTTGTAGCAGAGAGGTTTTTGGTTATGATGGAGATACAGGGCCCCTGTTAAAAAATGTGGTGTGGGAAATAGAGAGGTGTGCACAGCCTCTCACACATCTGGACCCACGTGCGCAGTCCTGGATGATTCCTATGGCTTCTCTAGCTGAACCAAGTGTTGGAGCAAGCCAGAGAAAGCTCAACTAGGAACAAAGACACTGGCAAAACTGTATTTGAAAGGCTCAGATTAGGCACACTTAACCAGCCTTGACAGTACTTCTTCACGAATTACACAGGATTAAAAATGAGTTCATTTTACCTAGTGCCTTGGAAGAACCCAAAATGAGGAGTTTAAGATAAGAAACACATGTGTCTCTGTACCACACAGAAACTGACCTTCTTTTGAAAATGGGAGGGCACATATTCACCACAATCAAATAATAAACTACCCCACAGCCTTTCACCATTAGGGTTCCATAACTTGTGTCATTACCGTTGACTCCTCACCACCCGTGACAGTTGATGACCGCGCTCGCCTAGTTGGGGTGCTGGGCTGTTAAATGATAATGTACATCAGTAACTTGCAGTTGGGGGACCGACCACTGCTGAGTGAATCAGGAATCACTGCTGTGGCGATGCTGTGGCAGGATCCCCAATCTCCACCTTGTCCAAAGGAAGCTGAGCGCATACCAGTGACCAGCAGCCAAAAGAGAGGAGAGCACACGCTCTCTTGGAACCACCATAGCACCCCAAAGAGGCTCAGGCTGCATCCTTGATAGGAGTGACTGGCAGCCACTTCAAATGGGACGTTTCGTGCTCCACGGTTCAAAACTGAGATTCTTTTATCTGCAAATCTCCGAGAGGCCACTGGTGGTCAGTGAGTGCATAGCATCTTATGGACAAGGAGAGAAGGAGGAGTCATGGTTCCAGGCATAGGGACTCCATGGCAAAAAGACATTGACGCTGATTTTGAAGAGGAGAGCGAATGCAATTAATTTCTACAGGGAAATCACAGAATCATCAGGATGAGAAGGGCCCCCACCGGTTCATCACAGTCTACGATTCTGCTTTGGGAGGTCAGTACTGAATCCACCTCAGCTCTTTACTAGCCAGCCTTTGTGGTGGACTCCACAATCGAATTTATTATTTTGGTTGGCAAACCATCACTAAACCCAAGTGGAAAATGCCATTTGAAGTCATAAGATGTTTTCAAAAATCTGTTGTCTGCCTTCAAGTTCATATACAATGAAGCGGGACATTAAGGAAGATTTATAGTAATAAAAAAATTAGGCATGGTGGCTCATGCCTGCAATCTTAGCATTCAGGAGGTAAAAGTAGGAGGCTGTTGCAAGCTTGAGGCTAGCCTGGAGTACCTAATTAGAGTTCCAGGCTGGCCTGGGCTACAGACCAAGACTCTGTCTTAACCCTCATCTCCCTGACAAAACCTGCAAAATCCAAACAAATAAAAGGCCAAGGTCAAATATCACAGTGAACATTTAAAACCACAGAATATTTTCACCTCCCAAAGAAGAAACACATTTTTTGTCAATTCTTTCTCGTGAGGCAATGCCCATCTGCCCTCCAATTTGATATTTAGCATATATTGGAATCAAAAACCCCTCTGTCATGCCCATGTGCACGCAGGCTTATCACAGCTGAAGGAAGGAGAGAGCAAATGGCAGCTGATGTTTCCTTCTGTTGTTAGCACAGGCGCTCTAGGTAGTGGGGAAAACTGGGCTGTCCTGCTGGAAGAGTTCTTCCTGACCAACGCATTTGCAGAGTTCAGATACCAGGACCACCGCTAGAACTGCTGAATGGACCACACAGTTTTAGTCCTATAAGCATGTCATAAATGCATACCTTTGAGTGAGAAACCAAAGCAAGCTTTTGGCATTTTAGAAGCTTGTTTGCCACTTAGGATTCTGGGCTGGAAAGTCAAGATGCTTGTACAATTTACTTAGAAAATTTTGAATATCTTGCTTTATAAGGTGAATGGATCTGTCCAGGAAAAACTCTTTCTCAGCAGCCCGGAAGATTTTAAATCAAAGCTGAAAAACCAGCTGAGGACTGGGAGTGAGTGATTATTACCGGTGGTAGGTGAGCCTGCTCAGCAACCGTGTCGGTAACACTGCAGGACCGAAGCCTCGACGAGGGCTCTCTCTGCTGCAGGGGAGGGAAAGACAGGCAGGGTTAAAAGGCATATTCTCGGAATCAGTTCACTGACTTGCATGCACTGCTCTTTGACATCGGGAGATAACAAGACACTGTCTCTTTCAGAACAACGACGGCAGTCCCTGCAGAACTGTTTCAAGTCTCAGTGTTTCCCGGTAGACCAGGATTTAAAAATAAAAGGAAGCCAAGACTACTGGACGGGAAGAGAGACAGGGACTCCTACAAAATTCAGGAGTAACAAGAGGTCAGCAGTCCTGTCCACTACTTGGGATGCCAGCTCTGGGCAAATTCTCAAGTGTTAAGAATAGAGGAAAAGAGGGAAGAAAAATGACATAGCTCTCTATTAACAGCTGCTTAGTACTGTTGACAGTGATCTAGCAGAGCTGCATGACCATCTGCACTTAGACATCACCCCCTCCTCCCTATGAGAGGTTGAGGGTTTATATTTAGCCAACTTCGGTACAGACCACGAGTGGAGCAGAGTGTGAGGCAAACCCAAAGTCTTGCGTGTGTGTCACACATAATGTTCTTCTCACTAATTTGAACTCTATGTTGGTAAACAAAGACTCACGGATCTGAACGAATATACAAGAGGGTCACAGACAGAAGCCATAGGTTCCTTACTAGCATGCTTACCCAGGGTACAGCTCGCAGCACGTGTGAACTTTATTAATTTAAAATAACAACTAGTAGGTTACAGCCAACCGAAGCACTGTGGTGGTAACAGGGACTACTTGTGCCTTCCCATAGTGGGCAGTATGGAGTCATTACTGAGCAAAAGTTTGACCCATTGCTCTTGAATACAGAGTGACCCCGAGCATCAAAATTGAAGGATGTCCCCTAAGGATATGCTATCACACTTGCAATTTAAGGATATGCCATGCTTCTGGAAGTGCTAAATACAAGCACTCCCTACTCTAATTGTAACAAATGCTAATTTACATCAACACAGAAAAATAGGAATGTTTTTCCACATGGTTTATATAAGTGGTATATAGCTGCTGTAATTTCAGCAATTCCTTCTTTGATACGTTTTAAATACATGGCTTTGTGGCTGACACTGTTCCCATAGCAACATTTTTACTGATTCAAATATCTCATATAACACAACCTCTTTTCTATCCATTTAGTACTAAATTTTCATCTCGTTGTTATTTCTCTTTTTGAAAAACATTCATAGAATTTTAATGTGCAAGCGCATTAACAAGAAATCCCTGCAGCTTATGCAGCAGAGGCCAGCAGTTTCTTTTGAAAGGACAACACCATAATTGAAGGGCTCCTAATTTTGTACTTAGTGGCTTTTATCATTTACATTCAGTATGCTCATAGGGACGACTGCCATATGAGAGTGCCATTTCCAACGTAGTGACTATCTTCATTTTCTCCAGGACATCTTTAGATCCAATAGCTTGGCGTGTGCATTTGGTCTTCACTCTGCACACACAAGAATGGTCTACGGGCTTTTCTGCAGCTCTGCGCTGTCAACTGCAAAGTTCCTTGTGACTGATTTCATTCCTTCTCACTGACCTGAAAACTTGTAGAAAGTATTTCTCTGATGGCCGAGGACCCTAGTTCAAGTGTCACCATGATGTCAGGGCCACGGTTTCACACTCTCACTTCTCAGGAATTCATATCTTGGGTTTTGGGGTTTCTTCTGCTTCCTAGTCAGGCTTTGCCAGGGACAACCTTAAACATCTGGCCCCACTAATTTGTGAAATGGAACACGCAGGGGGGTTGAGTGTGAGTTTAGAAGACTGGCTGGGAGGTTTTAGGGCTCCTGGTTCCCCACAGGACAACTGACCTCTTGATGAAGACACTACTATCATGATCCTTGTGCACGGGAAAGAAATCCTACAAGGTTAAAGCTGGAAATCACAAAATAAATAAATGAATGAATAAATATACTAACTAAAAAAAATCACGGAATCCTGTTCCTCTGAACTTTTTACAAACAAGAGAAAGATCTGGTGATAGGCCATTTCTTTCTAAATCAAAAAAAAATATTTTTACTTGTCAGGGGAAGTTTTCATATAGACATGCCTCTCCTCGGGAAGAGGATACTTGGGAGAACCTGGGCTGACTGGATATGGATGTCCATTGGCCAGTGGTTCTCAGCCTTCCTAATGCTGCAGCCCTTTAATATAGTTCCTCATGTTGTGGTGACCTCCAACCATAAGTTTATTTCTACTGCTACTTCATAACTGTAGTTTTGCTACTGCTATGAACATAATGTAATAACTGGTATGCAGGATGGTCTGAGGTGAACCCTGTGAAAAGATCATTTGACTTCAAAGGGGTTGTAACCCCCAGGTTGAGAACCACTGTCCTTGGCTATTATCTGCATACAAGAGAGTGTCGTAAATCAACAACAAAGAACTGACTACTGCTTAGCTTTTCTAACAAGACCATGACTTACGATCAGAGAACTGAACTGTTCCCCGTTGGAGTCTGGAGTGATCTGTAGCCTTCTGCTCAGTTCCTCTGACAGCTCTTGGGGGCTGGTCCGAGACACAGGGGAGGCAGGAGGTGGGGGCAGAGCCAGGCTGAGAGAATCTCCTGCCATGTTCACTTCCTCTGAAATGGTCTCCCAAGGCTTTGAAAGAATCAGATAGTGGGGTAAGTGCTAGGAACTGGGGATTTACCCGTCTTCCCTCCAATAAAATGTGCAATATCCATATCCATGAGTATAACTGTAATCAACACCTACTCAGAACGAGGCACACGATTCAGGATAAGCACAGTTGGGTCAGGACAACTGTCCCAGTTACCAGACTGGGAAACTTAGCTGAGAGAGCAAATTGCTGACATAAGCAGTCCATCGAGGGGTGTGACCAAGTATGAAGGAGCCGGGCCCAGTGGCCACGATCTCACTCTTTATGGATACACACTCCCCTGCAGCAGCTTTTTGCCTGCCTCTGTTACAAATGGATTAGAAACGCCTCAAGAATTTACAAGTAATTTTCGTGTTTCTTTTTTCCCCACTTTCTAACTGCTGTGAGGGTTCTTAATGAGAGCAGCTTAGATGCTGCGGAAGAACGGTTAGTGAATCTACGTGGAATCACTAATATACTGCTCCAATACAGGCCACTGCCACCTTTTGTGGGTGACTTCCCAATTGTAAGGTCAACCCAAGGATCAGAATCACCGGCATCGAGTTAAGATCATTTCTGATGTGTTGCTTAATTCATCTCCTTTCTCAGTAATTCTTATTAATTCAAACTTGTACATTTTAGGGTACTCTCTCCTAAGATGTCAGGCGGTGCATTAGAAACTTGTCTGTGACACCCAAACAAGTGACAGAACTCACTTGAGTCCTCAAAAATGACAACCTTAGTGTTGTTTCATGAGATTGGCTAGATCCTGGGGAAAACCAGTCACTAAACAAAAATATGTAAGACTTTCGCACAAGAAAAAATGTTCTCCCCCTTGACATACAAGCCACTTGGCTGGACATGGGTTTCACAAACATTTTCTAAGTTGCTAATACTCAGATGGGAATCAATTAGTTATGAGGTCACAGTCTTCACATTCAATACACAGCTGACTGAGGAGAAAACGGTGCAAAACCACCCCGGGGCTCGTGGGAAGATGGAGCTGCTTAGCCTGCCAGCATCTCTGGACATCATACCTCAGGGCCCTCTCCACCGCCTTCTGAGGCCTCGGGCTCCAAATCTTCACTGATGTGCCTCCGTGAGCGGAAGCGCCGGTGTGCAGCCTCCTGGTTGATCTGCCTGATGTTATTGTCTGACTCAGAGGACACATCCCTGAAGAGAGGGTAAGAGGTATTCAGAACTAGCTCTCAAACAGTTCACCCCTCACTGTGGGCTACACGCTGGCTAAGATGTCAGGGTCAAACACTAACAAGGAGCATGCAACCAATGGGACATCTTCCATCTTCTGGCTAGACCACACTGCAGGTTCATTCTAAGTCCACAAAAGCAGCTTCAGTGTACCGTAAAAGGGTTACAGCATCTTTCAGACATGTGCAGCCATCACTCTGCATCCACGAGGGAATGACTGCAGAGCCCTCCCTATCACCACAGATCCCAAAATTCTACAAGTTCAGACCCTGACAAAGAATGACAATGTAGAGAACACACCTACAACTTCCTGTATGCTTTAAATGACCCCTCGCTGATGTACAATGCCTTATACAATGAAAATACTCTACAAACAACTGTTACACTGTACTGTGTAGGGAATGAAGATGTTGACAAACGACCGCTCAGGGTCAGCACAGGCCTAATCTATTTTCCTGACTAGTTCTGGTCTGTGGTTGGCTGAACCCACAGGTGTGGAAGCCATGAGTCCAGCGGGATGGCTGTTCCTCAAGCTGCACTTCAGTATTTAAGAGAGAAGAGAAATCCAAGTCCTTCAGTCTGTGATAAGCCAGGCTCCTGGAAGAAGTGACAAGCAAGCCCACACATGCTCAGACATGCAGTCTGTTAGCAGGTACCTTCTGGGTCTAGCCAGCAGTGACAGAGCAGCTAATTTGGGTCATCAGTAATTGACTGAAGACTACTAACAGCCCAAATTCAAGGCTGAAGTCCCAGGAGGAGGTCTCTTAAGCTGTGTGACTTACTTTTAGTTGCTTTCTGTCTCGTTCTGATGAAAACCTCATATCGCAATATTTCAACTCCCTTCCCCAACAACCCACCTCTAATGATTCAAACGAACACAGGGGCTGACCTCCCAAATATGCTTGCACTTGAAGAACACTGTGCTGTTACACACTAGGATCTGATTGAAGAACTTATTCTTGAAAACAACCTAATCGACAGCATCTTAAAAATATTTTGCAGTACATGACAGGTAAAAGTTGGAGCGGGGGGAGACATCAGCTAGATGTTGCTATGTTGCTGGAGTGGAAGTCCAAACACCCTCCAGAGGCACTCACAAACACATTCAATCCAGCTCCACATCTACTTAGCACAAATTATGCTGCAGGTTAATGGGCCAAAATAATTGAAGATTTTAGTTTAGGTGACTTGAAATGCATTATTGATTAACAGTCTAATTACAAATTCTTTCTAAAAGAAAGGATTCAAAGTCTCTAGCACTTTCAAACTCACTCAAATCCCAAATAAAGAGCTCACTGGACCTCAGAGCAGCAACTAGAGCAACACTGCAGGAGGACGGCACCACATCCTGAATAGTGAAATGTTTCCATCAAGCATCGGTATCTATTAATGTTAGGGCTAAAGGAAGTAGCACGGAAGTTAGTTTCTGTTTAGTCCCCATGACTTCAGCAGAGTAAGAGGTCAAAGAGGCTATCAGGCACCTGCTTTACTATGCTTTAAACTTTCTCTTTGCTTTCTTTTCTTTTTTATCAGGCAGTGTCTCTCTAGTAGCCGTGATGGGCCTTAAACTCACAAAGATCCTGCCTCTGCGTCCTGAGCGCCAGGACTAAAGGCGTGCGCCGCTGTACCTGGCCCTCTCTTGATGATTAAGGACAAACATAGTTGCACCTTATGGTTATTTTCCTCACTTGAAAATTCTTTACTCCATGTGTGTTTTGTGAAGATTGCAAGCCCTTCTTGAAATTCAATCCACAGTTATACTGGGGGGATTCTAGGAGCTCTACAAGCAGGATTAAAACAAGGGTCACCATGCTTGGATGGACTGTCACTCTGTCTGCATCTCATATCCTCTAAAGAATATGCAGTGTGTGTGTGTGTGTGTGTGTGTGTGTGTGTTTGTGTGTGTAAAGAATGTTGTATTTAAAAACCAGTGATGTCAATTTCTCATACCCAACATGCTTAGTTAGTCAGCAACTGGTGTGAATGGTAACTCTGATTTTGAAATTCCAACCAGGGGCTTTGTGGTGGTTCATTTTCATAGTCAACTCGATGTTCCGAGAACACAGCTCTCCCACATTTCAGAGGACTCACTGAGGGGGAAGTGGCACCCTGAATGCGGGTGCCACCCAAGCAGCTGGAGGGATGGAAGAAACGGAGGAGGAAGCTGGGTAGCCCAGTAATGCGTTCTCTGTGTCCTGTCAGTTTTAAAGCCAGTGTTCCCACTGCCAGGAGAGCTCCTTTGTCTTCCAAAGCAACGGAGTTACTCCCTCCCTGGCTACGAACCTTCGAAGCTGTGAACCAAAATAAAACCTCCCTCCCATAATTGATCTCAGGTATATGGTCACAGCAATGACCTCCCATAACTGATCTTAGGCATCTGGTCACAGTAATGACCATCCCTAATTTATCTTATGTATCTGGCCACAACAATGATCAAACACAGTAGCACAAGCTTTTCTCACCTAACATAACAATATGAAGAATCTGCACAGGGTGTGTGTGTGGACGGGTCTTTTTCCTCTGCATTTAACTAAGGGAAAGCTGCTGATTACCTACAAGTTTCTACAAGCAAAGATGACTTTACTGGGAACAGGGAAACACTGTGAGAAATGCCTACGTCATTTTTTTCTTCAGTAGTTAATTTTGCATGCACAATTTCCCTTTACATATCATGGGAAATGACAGGAATGACAAGACTTTACTACTTGACCGATCCTTCCTTGAAATCAGTCTCAGTGTCTACTAAGATTAATGCCCCAGAACATGCAGAGCTGCATTTGCTTTGTTTTAATAAATTATATTGATTACTATTACATACACATGTGTGTGACAGTGTGTGTGTGTGTGTGTGTGTGTGTGTGTGTGTGTGTGTGTGTGTAGGATGTGCTACAGCATGTGTATAGAGGTTCTGGGGATTAACTCAGGACCTCAGGCTGGTGAGGTAAAGGCTTTTTATCCTCTGAGACATCTTGCCCACCCCCCCCCCTTTGCCTCAATGTAAGTGACTGAAATGATGACCCAAACTACAGATATATATGAGGAAACTAGGAGGTGTAGAGTATTTTATAATCAAAAGCTTAAAATAAGCATTTCACCTAAAGAAGTTTATCTTACAAAGAGGTATTTCTTCATTTAAAAGGATTGTCATTTTTGTAGTAAAATATAGTTTACATCTAAATAAGATTAAGAACCTAATGGTGTTTTAAAAGCCACCACTAGACCTGGGAAGGTGGAGTGACTTCAAGGGACACCTGCTGCTCCATAGTTATAAGCCTGAACTTGTCCTGTACAGTGCCCCAAACCACATGCCTAAAATCACTTCCTGAAATGGCTCCTTTTGGTCAGCCATTCATCTAAAACTGCATTTTGCCGTGCTCATACTCTGGTATTGGGCATGAGGATCTAGGAGTCAGAAGTCCCAGTCCCACTATTTTCCTATTCAGTCTCTTCAAGGCAGCTCACATCTGAAATCCTAGCACTGGAGAGGCTGAATAAAAACCAACCAACAAACACCCAGCCGAACACACAGAGACCACAGGCTACAGAGATGGCAGATGAGAAGGGCCGGGTGGCAGACATTTACTCGTCGGTAGGAGCCTGCTCCATCTCTGGCTCTCACTTGCTGTTTGGGGAAAGGGCACGGCGCACAGGCAATGAGAGGAAGCAAGCAGAAAGCGGCTGTGATGAGACCCCTGGAGCACGCGTGCTTAACTGAGGGACATCTGTCAAGAGACGGGGGTGAGAGTTACCTATAGAGCTTCCTACGCACAAGGGAAAGCCAGGGACAGGAGGGATCCTGCCAAGTTCACAGGGTTCAACTTTGGACACGAGTCTGTAACACACTGGGCAAGAATCGGAGCCACTGAAGTAGTCTTTGTAGGGTCTAGCTATGCAGCCCAGAAGTTCCTATCTCACCGAAGCGCTGGGATTACAAGCCTGTCTCTTTATTTCTGCCCACTGAGGTAGCTAATTCTTTGTTTACTTAGGACCTGATTGATCACTACCCAGTGTCCTCAGATACAACTTCTTAATTAAGATATTTTCTCACAGTATTTTTTTTCTCTGAAGGGTGCTGGAACTGTCTATAAAATTGAATTATGATTTTTTTAAATCTAGAAGAAAAGATAATTCTTTTGGCAGTCCTAGGGCTTCTTGGCCAAGTCAAACAGTTAAGGAGCAATAATTCTAAATCCATAAACTGCAGAATAGATTTCTTGCTTTTGGGATGTTTCACATGTAAGAAGCCATACTTATGTAGCTGATACATCTTGATTGATTTAAGTATACACCTGTGGAACTACCACCAAGTCTCAAGGACTTGGTCCTGTGCTGTCTGTTGTCACCTCATTAGCAATGGTACCCATCTTTCCCCTCAAATAAAGACTTCCATCTTCAAGGCACTGATTAATGAAGGCAAACAATCCCAGCTATGTGTCAGCCATTAACATTTCTTTCTGGTCCTGTTCTGCAGGGGTCTCGTGGCACTCTGATCATCACATAGCCCCTTTGTGAATACTCCTCTCCTGTGCCGTTTAGCTTAGGTGAATGGCGCTGCTTTTCAAATGGTATGAAACCATGCCCGAGGTAGGCCCAAAGTTATTTCTACCACAAAGAGATACAGTACTTAAATGGCTTATCCAACTTCTAAGTACAGTGATCATTAACGAAATTCAAACAGCAGCAAATCTATAGTATCAACAAAAAGTATATTTAAGCACCTAACATGGTGATGTGCATCTTATCTAAGCAATGAGCTAAGGCCACACTGGGTGTCCAAAAACAACTGAGAGACCTATGGAGAAGACCAGGGATGACTACCTCTGCTCCAGACGCTGCAATCTTTACCCTCAAACCATAAAATGTCACCCGGCTGACTTAGCTGCCCTCTCTAGCCACTGCCCCAATTATATGGCAGATACCTTTAAAATTTCTAAGGATAACGGATTTGTAAGAACAGTTTCCGGGATCTCTAGATATCACTTGCTTAAAAAACATCATTGGGAAATCTCTTTCAGTTTGGGCTGAAGAGAATATGATCTCAAGAGCAAGTAAGTACACTCATTTGCTTTTGTTGTGCTTTGAAAATTGATCACTTGTAATATCTACTTGGTAATATTATAATGCTGCTGTTTTGGCTGCTGGCAAGCTTATATGTCTAAGGTAACTTCTGTGTTTATCATGGGTACTTTGGCTCCACCTATTACTGCACATCAATAGATTTAAGTTTTGCTACTATGATATAACAAAAAGCTACTTCAAGATCTTTTTTTTGTTTTTTGTTTTTTGTTTTTTTGTTTTTTGTTTTTTGTTTTTTTTCGGGACAGGGTTTCTCTGTATTGTTTTTGAAGGCTGTCCTGGAACTCACTCTGAAGACCAGGCTGGCCTCGAACTCACAGAGATCCGCCTGCCTCTGCCTCCCGAGTGCTGGGATTAAAGGCGTGCGCCACCAACACCCGGCACTACTTCAAGATCTTTTTTAAAAACAGTAATTGAGGTAACTAGGATTTATTTATTTGCTATCATCAGAACAAAAATTACTAAGGGAACAGGCATCAACTGCCTTGCTCTCTCCCTAAGCCAGTAGGATGTTGAAATAAACAGTAATTACTAATTTTGGCTTTTCAAATTTTCTTTGCATTTCTAAATATACCAAGGCAGCAATAGATAAATTTTCTGAAAAGTGAATAAAATAAAAATAAAAGAAGCCTTTGCGACTTTCTAAATCAAATAATGTAGAAGAATAAAAATGCCAAACATTAAAGAAAATGGCAAAGCCAATCTGCCTCCTGATTTCCACCCTGGGTCAGTCAGGAGAGGGAGCTGAAGACGAGGGAAGGAAGATGATCGCCGACCCAAAGCAGAATCTAGGAAGAGCTCATTTCAGTAATCCCAAAAGGGCACAGAAGAATAGTTCCAATTGCATGACAAGGGGCAACATGGCACAGGGCAGCAGCCTCTTCCTGCGCACACACACACACACACACACGCACGCACGCACGCACGCACGCGCACAAATGTACACATGCACACGCTCACTCACTAGCCCCCAAACTTGTCCTCCAATTGCCACCCTTTGCTGTGCAGGACGTGACAAAGCATCCCTGCCATCTGGTGGTACTTACATCAAGCTGGGCCGGTGCCACTGCGTACTTCTATTGTTGTGGTTGACATAGTAAGTGCGCCCTAAATTGTCCACTTTCTCTTCCCATCCCGGTGGCAGAGGAGGAGGCGGGAGCTCCTCCTGGTGCTGGGAAGCTGAGTCGTTTGAGTCAACAACTTCCCACCCGTGCTGTGGAGTAAAGTTAATGGGAGGTCATGAGTCTGGGCTCCAGATCACAGGAGCAGACAACCCCAGGGTGACATTCTTCTGCCTACTCTGCCTCACACTCTGGGTCTTATAATGGTTCCCCATGTCGCACTGAGACACATTCTCCCTCAAAGGGAGAAAAACCAATCCAAAATCTCAAAACCTATTTGAACAACGGCCACTTAATCCTACCAGCTTCTAAGATGGCCGCATCACAGGGGGCCACCAGGTTTGGACCCTCCATTTACTTTCTTTTCATTGTGTAAAACATTCATCGATTTGAGTGTGTATATTTACATGTGAGTTCATGTGTGCATACCCAGCACACGTGTATAGGGCAGAAGACAACTCGCATGTGCCAGTCCTTTCTTTCTCCCATGGATCAAAGCGGGTGTGACAGAAGCCGCACTGACCTGCTGCCCTGTTTAAGTTTCTAAATCACCTCATAAACTTTTACATTTCCAGTAGTTATTCCGACTCAAAGACCTCCAGGGCTGCACAAAGCCAACGACACGGGGACATGCCAGAGCTGTTGCAGCTGTCATCCTTTCTACACCGCCATGAGGCATGCATGCGTGCTCTAAAAGAAAGCACGGCCCAGGTTACAGGTGTAGGGACAGGGCTACTGGTCTCCAATGAGGATGGTCCGGGGTTGGTCTGAGAGGACATGAAGTGTGACCAGGAGTTGTCTAGAAACTGCTGCTGTTGTTAGGCACTGCCCAGACAGACTCCATGGTGCCAGCATCAGAGCTGCAATGTTCCGACACATGCCTTTGGCATTAAGTATTGCTTTCCTAACATCCCCTGGTAAAGCCAGCGGAAAATCAACCGATTCACTGGTGACTGCCGTTGGAAGACGAGAAGAGCATAAAAAAATTTCCTTGGATTTCACACAGCAATCTGTTGCTTTGCTTGGGAAATCTCAAACTCTGCTACTGCCTGCCACCCACTTCAGTCTCTGTCACGTGGTGGCAGCTGAGGAAGCCTACAGTGAAACACTGCCTGGAAATGTGGCCCCTTGGTTGGAAGAGGGTTTGGTCAACTTGCCCACCATGTATCACTTAAGTGCCACACATGTGGGACAGCTGCAAACAGATGTGAAAACGCCAGGGAGGCCTTGCTCAATGGGAGGAACAACGTGAGAATTGAGTCTACAACACACGCTATGGTATTACAATGGGGCCCAGAGTACAGACATGTGACCATAGAGCGAAGAGCCCACTATGCCAGAGGAGGACAGCACGGGACACTCTTCTGGATAGCTCTGTGCTAAATGGCATTTCCCAAGGATGGCTCTGCGATACATACAGTCGCCTGTGGACCAAATGAACCAGAAATGGGGAGAGAGTTTCTAAGTCAGCCCTCATCCACTCTGGAGCAAGTTCAAGGAGCCTAAAAGGAACTGAAATTCCAAAGCAATGGTGGGGATTTTTTTTCCTGGCAGTGGGGCTGTCCACAGTAGATGCCTAGGCTGCTGTGAAATGTCATCCTTAGGCTCATGTTCTTGGAAACGTGGTCCTCAGCTGGTGACAGTGCTTGGAAAAGTTGTGAAACCATTAGACAAAGTGGAGTCTTGCTGAAGGAAGGGGATCACTGGGGGAGGGCCTTGTGGATTTACAGCTGAACCCTGCTCTGTCCACTGTCTGTCTCCGGACTGTGATTCAATACGACCAGCTGCCTCACATTCCTGCTTCCACGACCGCCCTGCCACGGTGAACTTCACTGGCTTGAAATGTGAGCCCTTCTTCCTTCAGAGGCTCCAGTTGGGTATGTTAACAGCAGCCAGACAAGAAACTAACACAACTGTGTAAAGAGCAGCTCTTCCTATTGTTAGTGTTGTGACATAAAATGGGAATTTCACTTTTGCTAAAACAATCTCACCCTGGAGGACTTTCAAAGACAAAGGCAGGGGGTATTTGACACAGCACTTGTATTTACGTTTGGAAACATTCACTTCCTTCCATCAGAGTCTCTAAGTGTAATACAAGCGAGATGAGCAGCCAGGAAACAGGCCAGGGCCTGCAGCTGTCTCTCATACCTCCATGTCGTCCCGCTGCTCGCCGTTCTCTTCATCCTGACCTCCGTTTTTCGGCATGTAGGCCATTTTCAACCGCAAAAACCCCTTGACTCGTGATTTATGACTGCATCCAGGAAGAAAACCAGTTATAAAAATGGATATGGCTTTTTTTCTCCTTCTTCTGAGACTGTCCTCAGAGAAACCAGCACTGCAAACACGCACTCCTACACCCACCGCAAGTCTTACCTTCTTGGTCGCAGGAGAAAGTCCTTAAATGTATAGGGTCTCTCCATGGTTGGATCTTCTGTCTAGGGGAAGGACAAAAAAAATCAATCAGCAAAGAAACAATACAACAATCTCCTATTTTGGGCAAACTCATTAGGCATGTGGAGGATATATTTTTAGGACATGCCTAGAGCTGGTTCCTCAACAGGTACTTACTCAGAACATTAATTAATTAAACATCTGCGAGGCCCACGGAGGCTCCTCTATTTCAGAGCCACTAGATGTCACTATCTACATCAGGTTCTAGCAGTCAAGCCCAGCCAGAGACAAATGACAAAATTATAGCCACCACTGCCAAGTGTAATTTCTAACTGCAGGGTGCGGTCTCAAATCTCCCAGAGTCGATTAACTTTGGAAAAGCAGCGGTCACTGGTGCCCCATTATCCGGTGACTCAAGACACCCAAACACAGAGTTAGACAGAATGCAAGACCTAGCCTTGTGTGCAACTTCATTTCTCATGAAAATATCAAGTCATCAGCCTAGAAGGACCGATGAAGTATCTCCCATGCAAAGCATCCAGGGAGCCTCTACCCACACTGGAATTATTTCATGAAGCTGTGAGTGAAACTGGGCCGTGCTCCACAGTTTGTGAGCTCGACACAAACTAAAATTACCCGGAAGGAGGAAGCCCCAATTGAGGAGTTACCTCTCTGAGATCAGCTTTTTGGCATGCCTGCCTGATATTTATTTGATTAAAGATTGTTGTGGGAGGGCCCAGGCCACTGGGAGAAGTGCTACCCCTGGGCAGGTGGCCCTGGGTTAAACAGGAAAGCAACATTAGCAGCTTCCTCCACGTCTCTGCTTCAGGTCCTGCCTACAGGTTCCTGCCCTGAGTTCTTGCCCTGGCTTCCCTCCATGATAAACATTTTCCTCCCCAAGCTGCTTTTGGTCACTTGGTTCATCACAGCAACAGGCAGAGCAATCAAGGGTACAGGATGTCTGCTCATTCCGTAAGAAATGAGGATTCATTTTACTGTGCAAAGTTGGTTGGCTAATGAAGCAGGGCAGTGGGGAAATTTGTGCCATTGTTTTTTAAATGCTGCATGTAGCCAAACCTGAAATGACTGACTTATCAAACTAAATGCAACCCACAATATTTGCTTTTATAGGAAGAGGGGCAAAGCACAACACAATGATGTATCATGTCGAGAGGAGAGAGGATAAGTATTTACATTTGACGGCTATCTGTTTATAGCCTTCCTTCCTAAGGGGTTCCTACTCTTACTCCCCTCCCCCTTTATGTGTGTGCATGTATTATTTACGTGTTTCTGTGTGTTGAACAAAGGACAGTGTTGGGCCTCTTTCTCACTGGCCTGATGCTCAGTGATTATTATTAGGACTCATCGACAAGGTTAGTGTGGTTGATCAGAGAACCCAGGGAATCCTTCTGTCTCTGCTTCTCAGTGCTCGAATTGTAAGACACACCATAATGCCTTTTATTTGTCGACTTTAACATATTATATTATTAATATATTATGTTTAATATAATATACAATATTTAATATATTCTCATACAATATATGTTGATCATATTCTTTCCTGTCCCCAACTCCTTCTAAATTCTCTATTTCCTTCCCACATAATTTAATATTCAATCTCTCTTAAGAAACAACCCTCCAAATCAAAACAAACAAACAAACCCCAAATACACACACACACACACACACACACACACACACACACACACACACACCCTGTAATACCAAAGTAAACCAAACCAAACCAAGAAAAGCATGCCAACGCCAAGGAGTCTGTTTCGTGTTGTCCAACTACACTGGAGCGTGGGGCCCGCCCTGGTGTGTGGTTGATATACCCAGTGTCCCTCCACTGGAGAGAACTGATTCTCCCCTTCTCAGCAGGTTTCCATGGCAAATGCCTTCTAGGTTACGAATTTGTGTTCACTTTCCCTCCTCATGCTGGGATTTTTTTTTCCTGTCTTGACCTTATGCAGGTTCACTCACAGGTGCATGCTGTCATCCTGTGAATTCACACGTGTATCAGTCCTGTTGGGTCTGGAAGACAGTTTTCATGTGTGTTCTAGGGACTACACTCCATTGCTTTTGTTCGCACCTTACCTTCTGAGCCATCTCCACAGCGATCTTTGCCCTATTCTTACTGCAATGAAGTGAAAATTCCTGCCTATAACCCATCAGTCATGCGATCAGGCGTTGTAAGTTTACCTCAGTGTGAACAGTCTCCCCGACAATGGTTCATACTTCAGGCCTTTGCCATTATTTCAGGAACAGATCATTTCTAATCCTGACCTGGAGCCCATGTACTGACAGGTCCTGACTGACAGTCAGTCAACTCTGGATGGCTCTACTGATGTCATCTTGCCCCCAGAGAGCCCATTTTAAACTCACTCTGTGTCACAGTGTTCTGCTAATCTAAGGCTTGAACTTTCTCACCACTGGCTGCTGGGGTCAAAAAAGGAGGTATGTGTGGAAAACGAATGATAAATTCATTTGATCTATTAAAAACGGAGCCCTAAAATTAACTTTGCCGAAGAAAATCAATTATTATAATCTCTTAGATTGTTCTAAGGAAGGTAATAAGTCAAACTTAATGACATTTGGGAGAATATTTTCGATATAAAAATTTTCAATGCATATCCTTTACAATGCACAACTGGGTAATCAGGAATATCATTGTTGGGGCCAGAGACATGGCTCAAAAAGTTAAGGTGCTTGCTGACCAGCCTGAAGACCTCAGTTAGATTCTAGGAATCCACTTGATGGAAGTGGAGAACCAGCTCTCAAAGCTTGTTCTCTGACCCCCACATGCACATGTACACACACACACACACACACACACACACACACACACACACACACACAAAACTGTTGAAAAAGAATATTACTTCTGGAAATTCTTCCTTTTCTCATTTATTTGATAAACAATTAATTTTAGTCAGTTTCAAGGAAAAGACATGTGACATCAGGGTGCCTGCCCTGAGGGTTGTAACTATGTGAGGGGGCGACCACAGCAGTAATATACTACTCTAAGGGAGAACAAATTCGGTGGCGTAGGGGAGGTGTAGTTAAAAGACTAATAGCCTAATGCCAGTAGGCATCAGTGAGGGTCTGAGGAACAACATAGGAATCTAGACATTCCTCTGTCCACACATCAAGGAACAGAACTGACCAGCACCTCACAGAGCAAGAGGCAGCCCCCAGGTCTGTGTCCTGTCTTTACTATTTTACAGAGCTTGGTGGTGGCCTTTTGTCCTTGTCTATAGAATGGGATAGTAATGAGGTCTTTCTTTACTGCTGTGAGGATTAAACCAACCAGCTGAAAGTGGTTTAAATATAGACCTCACAAGGTACTGGGCACAAACTTGGCCACTGTCATCAGCAACCATCTTTCGAACCATGGGGGTGTTGCCGAATCAACACTATGCAATGAAAAGCAGCTGCAAAATACACTTTATGAAAAAATAATAATCTGATAACCCAGTGGTTTTCAACCTGTGGGTTGCAATACCTTTGGTGGGGGGGTGGTGTCAAGCGACCCTTTCACAGAGGTTGCCTAAGACCATTGGAAAACATAGATATTTACATTATGATTCATAATAATAGCAAAACTACAGTTATGAAGTAGCAACAAAAACAATTTTATAGTTGGGGTCACCACAAAATGAGGAATTATATAAAAGGGTCACAGCATTGGGAAGGTTGAGAAACACTGGCCCAACACTGATTCCTCACCTCATAGATAAGACCATGTTCTTTGGAGAGAAGACGGTGTGAATCCAAGAATGGAGAACAGACTGTCGAATTCAACTCATAAGAACAAATGGAGGGGGAAACTGCCAGGGGCCCAGATTCCAAATCTGGTTGAAACCACCAGCCACTCCCAAGCCTCAGGCTCCTCTGTCTCCCATACTGTTGACCACCTTGGTATTGGGGAACCAGTAGCAAGCCCAATAATGTCACTTGCTGGAAAAAAAATCCACCTTCTCTGGGTCCAGGTTTCCTCATCTAGAAAATACCCTCAGGAGTGGATGGTAATGAATGGGGCACAGCTGAGAAAATGTCACTATCCTGTCACCAGCCATGGACATAAGAATGTCTACCTCTAAAACTATCATAGAGTCTCTACCTCATTATCCCAAACATGCCCTGTTCTACGAAAATAGTCAGCTCAGGCTACCCAAATACAATCTTGGCCAAGATGGAGACACGTGTCTGAAACAGCTTCTCTGTCTAGTGCAATGGATGCCCAAGGATGCAGAGAATCTGAAACTGGCAGCAGTTGGGAGCATTTGGGGCTTGGGAGTAACGAGGAGGCATAGAACAAGGAAGAGGCAGGAGAAGGTTTGGGGGTGCATAAGAAAACACCTGTTAGAACTTCATTCTGTTGTCAGAGCACACCTTCGAGTCATATTTACCCTTAATCAGAAGGTGCAAGATATGCTTTGCGAGTTTGCAACGATGATACACTGAGTGGAGCAAACAGGCCCCCAGACAGAAGTTTAAAACAATCAGCAATCATGTGTAGCCACAGCTGAGGCTGTTCCTGGTGGCCTTGTGAAGACAGTAGTAGCCTCACTGAAAGGGCAGCACTGGTGAGCAGCTGGGAGGCGACAGGACTGTCCTCATTTACAGCCTCTCATCTCCTCTGCAGGCCTCAGTCCTGCTGCCAGGTCTCCTAGGTAACGAGTGTATCACCAAGGACACAGAGCCTTCGTTCAGGGAATACTGGAACTGCCCTGATGCAGAGCTAGGTGGCAACCTGGCCTTGTCGTTGAGGGGACCCTCCCTCTTGTAGAAAAGCGGGGGCGCAGAAGGGACCCCTAGATAACTCACCCATCCTCAGATGGAAGTCAACCACACCCAACAGGCAGACTCCCATCTCTTAAAGCCTGTCTTTAGGCAATGTCTTAGAGCATGCCTGTTTCCTTAGCTCTGTCCTACCTAAGGGTTTACTCACCCCCATTTGCTTTGCCTCAATCCTTTCCTCAAAGTGCAATAAAGTAGAAAATAAATACTGAAGCTAAACAGTCAGGAGTCAGAGGAATGG